GTGAGGGCGGACACTGTGAAATGTCTCATGAACTGCTGTTCCCAGGTAGTATTTACTAGCAATCCCTCTATCTGGATTTTTTTTTAATTTAATTTTTATTTTTATACATTTAGAGGGTACAAGTGCAGGTTTCTTACATGCATATATTGTGCTGTGAAATCTACATTTACCAGTCATTATTTTAAACTGCTCTTTGGAATGCAGGGAGGTCCAGGAGCAGGGCTTCATTGGTTTGCCATGCTGCTACCTGCTTCAGGTTTGCCCAGCTTTCTGTTCCTTCCCTACCCCTTTTAACGTCTGGGAATTAGTTACACTGAAGTCCCACTCCATACAGAGCTGCCTGCAACTTGAGATGGAAACGCCAACACTGTGGGCCACTTTTTAGAAGCCTGTGGTCATTCGGGAAACAAAGGCACTCCTGTTTCCTCTACTCAATAACAAGACATCAGATTAATAGAATCTTTTAATTCTTGAACTATGCCCGCAGAATAGTTTGTGTTTGCTTTAACACAAAGGAATACTTTTCGAACCCTAAAGGTCACCCAAGAAATAAGAGAGAGTCGGCTTATGAATCGCGTATGCTGGTAGATTTTTGGAGAATGGAATGTGTCCTAGGCAATGCGTGCTGGGTTTGGAGCGACTTGGCATGAGAGTACTCTGTGATTTACTCTGAAGAGGCATTTCCTGGGCAAGGAATTCCCCCTGTATTGAAGGAGCATGCCATTAGGAGGAGAAGAAGAAATGGGGGCGGGGCGGGGTGGGGAAGAGGAAGGCTTCTTGGTTCACATTCTGGTATTCACTTAATGAGTGGAATGTTCTTGCTAATGGGATTTAACCACAATACCTATCCCTAACCTTGTCACCGAAAAGGTAGTCTACATGCCCCTTTTGTTCAATACCGTCTGGCTGGTAACTGTGCAAAAGTCTGTTCTCCCCATTTTCTAAGTGGTAATCCTAGAATTATCTTGGCTCAGAAATAAATGAAGAACTCGTGTACAGGACTCAGATTTCCCTACAGGGGTTGTCACTGAAACAAGGATTAAGTGCCAGTACACAAAACCTCTCAAGCTACGGACAACATGTCAATTGCTAAACATTCTATGGTAGAAGGCCTTTAGTTTTTCTCTTTTATAAAGCTTGAGATCAAGTTTTGGTAAGGAGTAAAAAAGCAAGGCAATTTAGCTCCTCTAAAGGGAGCTTGTTCCGAAGGACAGAGCTATATTTAGCTCGGTGGCTCTGTCTCCAGGAAGCTAAAGCAAGGAGGCAATTAAATGGTGAATTGTGTGTGTGGAGAGGGGGTCCAGGGGGAGGGCGGGTTAGGGAGATGGTAACGTAGGCCTTAAAAAAAGAGTCTGTTTAGGAAAAAAATTTTCAAAACAGTTGCAAAGTATCATGAAGATACAACAGCCTACTGATGGCCACCTGTTGCACCTCACAAACCTTTATTTTGAAGTGGAGCAGACAGAGCCTGAATATAAGTTAGCTAATCAGGTATACCCCAGACCCCCCGTATGGTAATAGTGATAATAAACTATCTGTCATTTATTGAGTACCTGCTATATACCAAACACAGTGCTTTACTTCTCTTAAGCCATTTAGTGTTGACGACTGTGCTCTCAGCAGCAAATAACAAGAGGGTCTTGCCCAAGATCACATAGCTGCTAAGTGATTGAAACAGATTTGAATTTTGTCCTCTTTCTCTCCGCACTTTTAGCTGCTTATACGCTATACCTCCTATACTCTTCTCTGCTGCACCGGCATTTTATGATTTTAAATTCTTACATTAGAGCACTTTGACCTTCTAGGAGAAAGGCATGAAATACATCTCCCTCCCATTATGTCCGTACCTGTATACGTGTGTGTGTGTGTGTGTGTGTGTAACATCTACATCTAAATCTACAATTTAAGTGGAGTGATATTGTTAAAAAGGGAATAATGAGAAACTCATTTACATGGTAATTTGCATTCAGATTTCCTGGAACTGTAGCTTTACTCTTTTTTTCTTTTATTAAAAAAAAAAACCTCCTTTTATTTATTATAATTCCTGGAGATTTGTCTCTGCTCGTGTCCTAGATATGGGGTTATGGGTATGGGGCAGACATCAGAGAGATAGACCTGTGTCAGGAAACAAAACAGCGGGTTAGAATTGAGTGTCATATAACTAGCTCTCAGTGGTCATTTTTCTCTCATTTTGTATGGTAAACCTAAGGCCTGTTCGATTTTGCATCTTTGATTTTAAACCCTGGGTAAACAGGTAGATGGCAGCCAATGATCCCAAATGGAAATTGTCGACTTATAAACGGATAAATAATTTGACTGAATCGAAACATGGAATTCTTCTTCTCTGAGTGGAATTTAAAATCCCAGGGCATTTTAGTGCAACATAATTTTTCCTTTTCACACCTATTCCCTTACTAAAATAGGTGGGAAACAAGAATTGCATCCCTGAGAAAATTGATTGATCAGTGTTCTTTCTGAAAAAAGAAATGGTATATGAATAAGGAGTATATTTCCTTGAATAATATAGTTGTTAGGCTAAAACCTTTTATAAAGAAGATATTCAAAAGAAGGAATTACTTCCTTTTCTCCATACCTGAATGTTTATTTCTAAATTTGATATCTGAATAAACATTCAGATTTGGAGGGCCTAACAAGGCTGCTCTCAAAGTACACAAAGGGGTACTTACAATCTTATTGAATCTCTTTGGAGCTAGTTGGACAAGACCATTGCTCAGGTACTGTAGAGCTCTTCTATTCTTTGAATCAATAGTAGCCCAATGCCCTTTCATTTCTGGGTCCATTTATTTGGGGATGGGATGGAGTGGCCAAGAAAGCAAAATTCAGCTGTTGAGTCCAGAGGTAGTTGTAGATATAAATCAGAATATTTCTCCCTCCCAGATCAAAGAGAGAAGTTCTAATATCTGCTCATGTTTGAAGCAGAGCAGCAAAAATGGTGGTAGATATAAAAATCTAGGCTTGTTACAAGACCTGGGAGGCAATTCTTAGGGGGATGATCTTGCTGTCAGTTTCCTGAGATTATTTAATTACAAGCAACTCATGATTACCTGTAAACGGGAGAGATGCAGTGGAAAACTCAAACAATGGTTGTTGCAAAATCATATAAATTGGCTTGGGAATATCCCATATGACTTTCCCCCCAAGAAATTTGCCTTCCTAATTATGTTTTGCTTAGCCCAATATTAAAAATTAGTTTGTTTCCCCAGAGTAGCTCTGAAGTTAAACTGTGGAGGGAGTTGGTTCAAGAGCATGCCAATTGGAATAGAGAGGATGAAACATTTTCTGGCACTAATGTGGCAAAAAATCCCAAAGTTATTTTAATCTTAAAGAAAAACATAATCTTGAGCACCTCACCAGCCTTCACATATTATCTGAACTGCTATAAACATTTGTAATGATTACATAAATGAGATTGTTTTTATTTAGATATGTGTGTTTTTACCTAGAGAATGTGTGTTCTCCCTCTCATCCTTCTTGGCAGCTAAAGCAAATAATAAACCAAATTTCACAGACTAAATCATAGTGCTCTGCACACAAAATTGCATCAGAAATATTTGTTGAATAAATAAATTCTCCTGCTTGGGAAAGGTCTTATTGTGTAGCATTGAAGATAGATTAGGCTAGATTTCGAAAGTTAGACCTAGAGGTGGCTGAAAAGTCTTGGATCCCTGGGCTACAATGTTGTTGTCATGGGGGGTTCTTGATGGAATTCTCTTCTTTCTTCCCTCCCGTCCTCCTCTCCTCCTTCCCTTCCTTCCTGTCTTCCCTCTTTTCTTTTCTTCTTTCCTTCCTTCCCTTCCTTCCTTCTTTACTTCCTTCTCTCCCTCCCTTCTCCTTCCTTCCTTCCTCCCTCCTTCCATCCTTCCTTCCTTTCCTCCTTCCTTTCTTCTTTCCTTTATTCCCTCCTTCCCTCCCTCCTTCTCTCCTTCCCTTTTTTCTCCCTCCCTCCCTTCCTCCCCCTCTCCGTCCCTCCCTCCCTTCCTCCCTTCCTCCCTTCCTTCTTTCCTTCTGAATTTAAATGATTTCATAGTTTAATAGTCCTAGACCATATGCAAACTTGAAAGTAGGCATATATTCCTGAAATTCATGGCTCTTAAACAATTGCGAATCCAGTACAAATTTACAGATTGAATTCAAACAAAATGACAAACAGCATTCAAATTAATAACACTGAGTTAATGTGATGGACGATGGTTTGCTAACATTAAATTGTCACTCACGAAATTAATGTTGTTTCAACTGGTATGCTGACGATGTTTTGATTTTAGTATGCCTATATTTCCTTGTGATGTATAAGACAGGTTCTTTAACGCTTTTCTTTATTTAAACTACTGCAAAGCTTTGGTCCACACAGCATGCTGGATCATCATTTGACCTTCCCTTGGCATAAATTCATAATTTACTTGCTGGGAGAGGGGTCCAGGTTTTGTGGGGCCTGAAGAGTATACAATTTTTAGGGCTTTTAAATATATATATATATATTTATATATATATTTTTATATATATATATATATATATATATATATATATATATATATATATAGAGAGAGAGAGAGAGAGAGAGAGAGAGAGAGGGAGAATATAAAAGTGAGACAAAATTGCTAGGGTCTCTCCCAAGACATTGGAAGGAATCTGCATAGGAGTTGAAGCTCAAGCTTCATTAGCTTCATGCTAAATCCATCTGTGTTTATGTATCAAGCCCTTCTCTATTTTTTCCTTGTTGCTAATAAAGAATGACCTGGTAACAATGAGGAGTGGCATTTTAAAAATAATTTTGGGAAGATCAATCTTAAATTACACATTAGTGTATTTAAGGATTATTCTCAACCTAAAATCAGAAAATTAAATATTGTCATTGATGACACAAAGGTGATTGAAAAATATCTTTTTGTTACCTTCTTTCCCCTTGATAAATTCCAAGGAGGAATTGCTGGGACCAAGTTTCAGACCTCTCACCACACTTTCCTTGGTTGGATTTACAGAGGTCAAAGTTCGGAGTGCAACTAGAGAGACTAGCAGTTCACTTCTCCCAGCCTGTCCGACTTCTCATAGCTTAATCTTCGGGCACAGCTGCTGTGAGTACACAGTCCCTGGGACTCATATCTTGCCCTGCTCCTGGCCCGAGGACAAGATTGGGAGGAGCTGTGGGCAGGTAAGGTCAAAAGGAACCTCATGCCAACATTTCTCTGGAGGGCAGAGGGACAAACAGAATCCACAGGTCAGGATCTACCTCGGGGACAATGTCTCGAGTCCAGTGGTTGCAATAAGATGTGTTATGCGTCAGAGCCAGGGAGGGAAAGAGCAGGCACAGATGATGTTGAAAGGTCAGCCAGGCAACGGAAGCCAGGGGTCAGGAAGAATTCCGAGCTACGATTCCTGCTGGAACACATGGTGGGGTGGGGGGCAGGTATTCATATCAAAATCAAGCAAGCTTTATTTTTCAGGACCCAAGATCTTCCTGCCTTCCTTTCCTGGCAGGTCTCACATCCAAGGGTTTTCTTCCTGAGCTCATAGACACTAGATCTGAAACCATGCATAAGAACAGGAAATGGGGTGGCTCGTCCTTACTGAGGAGATTCTGGAATTATTCATACCAGAGTTGATAGGAGAATGAAATATGATAGTCAAGATCAGACCTCTCCTCGCAGGCTCTTTTCCTTCTAAGTCAGGAGAATCTTCAGAGAAGTCCCCATAGAAGAGAACCCCCATGCTGCAAGTACGCAGGATATACATTCCGATTTGAGCTGAGTTCCAAGAAAAACTTTATTTTGGGACATTTGAGGCTTGTCATCAAAGAACTCTAACTTTCTATCTCCCTACCTTATGGGTTACTATGAAGTTCAAGTGATAGTGTGTGTGTGTGTGTGTGTGTGTGTGTGTGTGTGTGTGTGTAGTCTTCTATATATTTTCTATTCTCTACATATATTTCTATTTTCTATATAATGTATGTGAGATATATATTATAGAGAGATATATTCAATTTTCTCTCTATATATATATATGTGAGAAAGTGTTTTGCAAATGGTGAGGTACCACCGTATACAAGATTGTTATAATCCCATTTCTGTCCAATGGAGATGCTGATTTTCATCTTGCTTGATAATTATTTTCAGGTGAGATTATATCACCTGATAAATATTTTATTTTTCTTCTGTTTCCTTTTTTTTCTTTTGTTTCTCTAGTTTTCTGGTGAAAAATGATTCTATTGGAAATTTTATAACAGAGCAAATGTTTTCAGAGAAGGAAGGGATTCTCAGATTTAAAAGAAAAACTTTCTCTAAAACTCAGAGCAGCTAGAGCGCCTAGGAAGCCCCTTTATCTAATCAATCTAGTCTTAACTATAACAAGCTCAACCGATGCTTGGGTAGAATATAAATTCCAAGTCACAGGAGGTCTTATCAGTTATAATACTGAGAAAGAATTAGCCACTCTGTTTTGGTAAGATGATAGCTGTGGGCTAATTCATTTTTCTTGAAATATTTGGGGGATTTGAAAGCTTAAGAAGTAAACAGGTTGTTTTGTTCAGGGAACCTTCTCTGAAAGAGTGACCAGGGTTCATCTGATGACATTAGCTTTGCCAGTAATTTCAATGATGTCAAGGGCACACGGGAGATTAAAGAGGGATTAAGACCTGCTCACAGAATCAAAGCATCACAGTAAATTGACTTGACTTGGCAGGCTGCACTTCAGGTTGGCACCTTTTCACCACCTCATCATATACAATACAGGTTTGTGGTGTTAGCTAGGTTACTTTCACAGAGGCCAAGAAATGCTAAGCAGGCAAGGTGGGAGGTGAAATTTGCTGGGGAGGGGTGGACGGACATCAGGAGAATGCTCAAGGCCAGGCTGCCACTTGAGGTGCTGAGGATTAAAGCATTAAGGAAAACGTTTTTTGTTTTTTTTTTTTCCTCAGGATCTTTCAAAAATGAATTTCATTTTCTACCTTCCCTCCTTCCACCCACTCCCAAGTTTTCCAGATATGCGTTCCTCCTAAAACCTTTTTAATCCCTCAGGTTATTATCAACTCTTCTGCAAAAGGAGTCAGGTTTGCCCAGGAACTTCACTGAATAAAGATGAGTTTATATTTTAAAAAGGAAACAGCTGGATGGCAAAAGCCAGGGAGGGAAGCAGCTCTTGTTTCATTAGTGAAGGGAAACTCGAGGGCCCGGAGAGAACAACTGGGCTGGCAGCCACACGGGGAGAAGAAAAGGAAACACACGATCATAAAGAACTAATCATGAAAAATGGAAAGCGAGAAAGAGCCAAGAACAACAAGCAATAAATAGATTTGGAAGGGGGAAAAGATGAAGAGGAATGCACAGCCATGCTCAGGAAGGAAGCAACAGAAGCATGTGCGTTTCTTTTGAAAAAAATTAATAATTCTGAACATCATGAAAATGTCTTGAGGAAAATGTTTTAAGATAACTTTTCAGACCCAGGTTTTATTTCTATGTGTTATTTCAGAGTCTACTTCAGTGCATGAAAAAAAAAAAATCAAATGGAACTAGGGGGAGAAACTCAACATACAATGTGCCTGAGTGGTTGGTTTCCCTCTGCTTTTTAATTTTTTTATAAATAATTTCTGCGTGATGTTGGGGAATAGAAACAGTTAGTTTGGCTATGTAGGGTCACTGATTAATTGGGGGATTCTAAGATTAACTTATACAATTCTAGCCATAATTAGAAATACCAAATATATTTTCACCTGGGCAGTGATCCCGTAACGTTCATTTGTTTGTCATGAGGGGGTGATAATTTGGGACTCACCCATGAATCTCTAAATATTTTCAAATGAAATTAGCATGGATTGAAGGAGGAGCTAAGAGGGAATCCAGATCCTAATCTGTCCTTCATCTTGAAGGACTATTGGTCATGCTTGTGTATTTTATCATGTTGAATCCGTTCATCCAAACGTGGCCAATAGTTCAGGCAATCCTAGACAGAAGCTATATATACATATATACCTATAATCTAGGTATATGTATCTTATACCTCAGCTTCCTGAATATATATATGTATCTTATACTGAATATATATATATATCCTGAATATTTATATATATATATAAACTGTTTGAAGTTTCACATCAGTTACAGACAATACTTTGTCAATGAAATGTTGCTAGTCTTTTATTTGGAGGATGGCTTATTAGGGTTTTTAGAATTAGTTTTTAATAGCAGCATTTATTTAAGAAGGAAGAAGAAACGTTTGATGGTACCTTCTGGAATGTACACTCATCTCATTAATGACACTACAGTTCATGGTTGGCAAAACAGGACTTTTGAATCATCCTGTATTGTGTGTGTGAGTGTGTATGTGCTTGAGAAAGAAGTCCAAGGCGCTAAAGATACATGAGAAGTGCATGAAGACAGGATGCAGGATTTCCTATGATTTTATGTTGTTCTTAATTAGGAAGCATATTGGCAGCAAATGCTAACATGTGTTAGGATGTTTAGCTGAAGCCAAACAAATGTTTTCTATTACAACTCTGAATTCCATGCCTGGTCGGAACCCGTGCTGTTCTGCTCATGGCTAACAAAATCCTGTTAAAAGTCATATCAAGGGCCAATTTTCTGTTGGCTCACAGAGCAAAACTACTTTCACCACATGTTTTCCTGAAGGGTCATCTACAACTCCAGGTGAAAGTCAAAGATTGGAAGAGGATGACCTCTGATCCCGGAACTGCATTGCTTGGTGGTCAGGAGGGGTTCTTAGTAAGCAAACTGGGTTTAATTCCAGAGACAGAAGTGGGTGTCAACAAGTCAAAGCAGCATCCTTTCAGCTCTGCTACTTTTTATCTTGGTGGAGGAATAGCCAAGAGAAGAAGCTGGAGAGTAGCCAAAAAAAAAAAAAAAAAAAAAAAAAAAACGGTCTCTAATGTAGCTAGGTAAAGTAGCTACGTTAGAGAGCATTTGCTTGAGTACATAAGAAACCACGTATAAATATGCTCTTTACTGATTGATTGATTGACTGATTGGAGACAGGGTCCTTCTCTGTCACCCAGGCTGGAGTGCAGTGGCAGGATCTTGACTCACTGCAACCTTCATCTCCCACTGCAATCTTCCCACCTCAGGTTCCTAAATAGCTGGGACTGCAGGCACACATTACCATGCCTGGCTAAGTTTTGTACTTTTAGGGAAGACAGGGTTTTGCCATGTTGCCCAGAATGGTTTCGAACTTCTGAGTTCAAATGATCCTTCTGCCTTTGCTGTCTAACATGCTGGGATTACAGGTGGGAGGCACCAGGCCTGGCCATTTTTTTCTATCTGTGTCTTTTTCACTGCTGTGACTGAGAAATCTTACATGCTCTCATATATGTACCTGAAATGATGCAGAAATTCCCCAGGACCAGCCACTTGGTGCTTACATTTATTAATATCAATAAATCCACGAAGCCAGGTTGTAAGGCAATCTTAGGTATGCACTATGTGAGGACTGCATTGCCTGGAGCTCTTTAGCAGTTTTCCACTGCAGGGTCTTCACACAAGCTCATCCCTCTTTCTGGAACATTCCCTCTCCACATTTTGCACCACCTATCCCCTCACCTGGTTCAGATCTCTTCCCGATTGTCCCCTCTCGCCCAGCTTTCCCCAATCCCTTCCTCATTCTTTCTTCAATTTGTATTTATTTAATTTTGCTCATTGTTTCTCCCCTCCTCTAGAGTGTCCACTTCAAGAAGGAAGGGAATTTATTTTGCTTTTGCTGCTGCACCTCAATGCCTAGGACAGTGTAAGGAACGGAGAAGGTGCACAACTAATAATCTATTCATTGAATTAACAGGTCCAGTGTGTTTTTGTTACTGTCTGCATGACATTTTCAAAGCCTTGGAAGTTACTAAATTACTTTCCTGCATTTTATATGCAAGGCTCCTGTTATTTCTAGTAAGAGTCAGCTGTACATCTAGACTGCATTTTCAAAAAATAATAATAAACTACATTTCCCTTTGCCTTGTAACCAATCCCATGTGGTATATAGGCCCCTGCAAAAAAATTAACAAAAAAGGGAGAATGTACCAAACCACATTCAGTTAGTGAAAGGGGATGTTTTCCCATATTCTTAAATAAGGTCTTTTAACCAGTATATCCAATCTCTCATAAACCATGAAATGAAGTGACTGGCTATCAGAACTAATTTTGAGAAGAAAAACTGTCATCTTTAAAGCAGTAAAATCTTCATAAAACTGTGTAAACTAATTACTAGGTTAAGTAAAATTGCTGAAATATATCAGGACCTTCAAATGTCTCCAGGGCAGACATAATACAGTAATTCTCTAATAGTCACCCTGGGAAGGCACCGTAATGGGCGGGATGAAGTCATTCTAATATTCTCATTTAGTTTTGGTCCTGAGACTTATAAAAAGAATACTGGCGGCAGATTGCACATGCAGAAGAGATGCCCATTCATCTCACATGATACTAGCTGGCCTTTCCAGGCTGTGGATCACGAGCTCAGGGGAATCCAGTAGAGATGGGCATATGCATTTATTCTGCAGAGAAGATGGATATATGCCTTTAAATCCATTTGAATGTTTCTCATCCCTCCCCATGAAAGGGAGTGGAATATATTTTGTGTACAGTATTTTTTGCTTTAGGTTATTTAGATGGCCTCATGTATATTAGGTTTTTGCATGTGAGTAAGAAAGAACTAAAAACAAGAGCAAGACCTACCAGAAGCTTCAACAGAACAGATGGCCCATGGAAGACCTCATGTTCTTTTGAATTACTAAAAAGCTCTATAAATTTAAGCAGGTATCTTGGTAATCCAGGATAAGTCACAAGGATTGGGTAAACTCAATGGAATAGTAAAGGTTTATTTTATTAGGTAATGTTATATACATTTAGGCCACGCCTCTAATCCCAGCACTTTGGGAGGCCAAGGTGAGTAGATCACTTGAGGTTAGGAGTTTAAGACTAGCCTGGCCAACATGGTGAAACCCCATCTCTGCTGAAACTGCAACATTTAGCTGGGCATGATGGCATGTGCCTGTAGTCCCAGCTACTTGGGAGGCTAAGGTAGGAGAATTGCTTGAACCTGGGAGGTGGAGGTTGTAGTGAGCCAAAATCACACCACCACCATCCATCCTGGGCAACTGAGCAAGATGCCATCCCCAAACATATTTGTTTTCTCAAATCCCAGGCTAATCTTGTACTCAATATGGAAGATAATCATGACTCATCACTCTGGATTACCACTGTCTACATATGTCTTTCTTATGAGATTATGCACCTTGGAGATAAGAACTTCACATTATTTGCTTCATTCTCCAGTGTCCAGTTTGTGGAATGAATGAATAACCATTAACAGAAACCTGACTGTTATTCTCTTCACTATTAACTTTTCCTAGAGTTATAAATTCCAGCTAGAAATGTGTTCAGAAAACCACTTGTCTTTAGAAATGTAATTTCACGAGACACACAAGTTGATTTCCTCATACTCTATTATGCTGATTTCTACCTGGCTCAAGGGTGTGATTCATAAAGAAGAGTGATAGGAACTAGACTTCTTAAAAGTGGTGAGTATCAGGCCACAATCTCAGAGGATAGCGTATGAGGAGTAAAGTTGAGAAGACACATTCACATTTACCCAAATGGCTTGCACATTAAAAGCTGTACACCCTCCCTGACTCCAATTAACTCAGAGGGAAATCTTTATGCTGGTTCGGTTCTTTCCAATGCATCTGAGCCGACCATTGCTGGCTGGCCCCTGTGTCCCTTTGGAATTGATAATGAGGTTCAAGAGAGAGGAATAAACCTCACTAAGCATGTCACCTCTATTTAGCACCTTTTCCAGGATGGCAGACACTATTGTTTTATTATGTCTCTGATCAGCTGTCACTATTCATAAAGTAATCACTGCCATTAACACATCATGCCTCAAGCCATCTGCTGCAGCACAGCACACACAGAGCTGTTGGTTGCAAGCAAAGCAGGTGTCACCTAAAAATGACAGTACCACAGTAAAGGTGGGAGGTCATCATGGTGAAGAGAATATGTGTCATGTCATATAACTCTATTTTTGATGTATTGTAGTGCAATGAGCAATAGTATTTCTTGCTTAATTTGCAGAAGGCTAAACTTACAACATTCTCTTGTGAGTTACCTTATTTTCAATATTGGTAAGTTACGGAGACAAAAAATGTCATTGAAGTTTTTGAAACAATAGCATCTAGATTGTGAATGGTCTGTTGCATTAAATTTGCAGTCAAGTTTAAAGCATTTTTTTAAGAGATCTGATCCATCAGACCTTTATTCAACAAGTATTTATTGAGCACATACTAAGTGACACTGACATGTGACTGGCCCACTCAAACTATACAGTTGCTGCTTAAAAACAAAAATCACTGGTGGCTACAGCCTGTAATCCCTGCACTTTGGGAGGCCAAGGCGGGTGGATCAAGAGGTCAGGAGTTTTAGACCAGCCTATCCAACACAGTGAAACCCCATCTTTACTAAAAATACAAAAATTAGTTAAGATGGTGTGGGAGCCTGTAATCACAGCTACTCTGGAGGCTGAAGCAGGAGATTCCTTTGAATCCAGGAGGCTGAGGTTGCAGTGAGCAAATATCATGCCATTGCTCTCCAGCCTGTGCAACAGGGAGATACTCCATCTCAAAAACAAACAAAAACAAACATCGCAAGTACTGTACACGGCGAAGATTCCTGATCCCAGCTGCTGTCTCTAACACTTATTTTGATTTTGGATAATTTTGGGGCTAGTTTTCAGTTTCAGTATGATCTGTATTGATTGACTTTTATGTGGATGTATTGGAAAATAAGCTTGCATTGGAAAAATGTAATGATTTCATAAAGTCTATTATGAAGGACAATATCTTTATAGGATAATTAGTTCTCTTGACCACCTTCATTATAAAGGGGCTTTATATTTATACAACTGAGAAAGGAGTTAGAAATTTAATTGAAGATCTTGAGCGTTGATAGAAAGTGAGACAAGGGATCATAACTGGGTTTAACTATCCCTCTAGCCCCTTCCTCTCCTGCATATACACTAGAATTGCATGCCCAGCTTAACTTCAGAAAATTCGTCTATTTGCCCTTGGCAAATATATACACATACACATCTGTATGTAGATGTAAAAATTTAACTAGGGTAGTTAGTAATTCCACCCTCCATTTTATTGCATGAGTTTCTGCTCTTTTCCTGGGAGTGAGAAGTATTGGATGAGAGTTTGGATCTTCTGGCCCCTCAATTACTCTTAGCAACATCCCCCATCCTTCCCTACTGCTGATGAGAGCATCTTGCTGTGTGGTTGGTGGTTCTCAGGTATATACAACTCAGTACTCTTCACCATGATGCACATGTGCACGCATCCTATATGCTACTGCTGGTTTAGGAGATTTTTAAGGGTCAAATGAACCGTACATTTAGAATATAACTCCTATGGAGTATGTTAATTACAAACCAGTTGAGGAATGCTACATCACCCCAAAGTCTACAGAAAGCAAAGATATCCATCTTCTATATCAGGATTTCTCGACTACTTTTGAATCCAACTTTCTTTTGAGAAACAAAAATCTCAAGCTCTTCCCCTAACCCTAAAGATTTGTAGAATCATCTGTTATAACCAGAAAAAAAATAAAATCAAACTTGAATTTTTGTAGTTTGCATTCTTTTCTGAATGCAAACGTTTTTCTACATTTTTTTTTTAAATTCTATAATGATCTATATGCTTTTCAAACTGGTTCCCCTTTCTCCCCAGGGATCAATTCTATGCCAAAGCACTAGGGACATTTTAACTCAAAGGATGACATTTGTGAATCTGGGATTGGGGTGGGTGCTTTTCAAGATACCAGTGAAGCATCACAGAATGAGCAAGCACATGTCTCCTGATGACCAGTGGCCCCCCTTTATTTTTTTCTGAGATGGAGTTTCAGCTCTGTCGCCCAGGCTGGAGTACAGTGGTAAGATCTCAGCTGACTGCAACTTCCACCTCCTGGGCTCAAGCAATTCTCCTGCCTCACCCTCCTGAGTAGCTGACATTACAGGTGGCCACCACCACACCCAGCTTATTTTTGTAATTGTAGTAGAGATGGGGTTTCACCATGTTGGCCAGGCTGGTCTCAAACTCCTGAATGCAAGTGATCTATCCGCCTCAGCCTCCCAAAGCGTTGGGATTACAGACGTGAACCACCGCACCCGGCTTGAAGATCATCCTTCTGTTTTTATTTTCTAGATGGAGTCTCACTCTGACTCCTAGGCTGGAGTGCATCATGGCTCACTACAGCCTCAACCTCCCAGGCTCAAGTGGTTCTCTCATCTCAGCCTCTCAAGTAGCTGGGACCACAAATATGCATCACCATGCCTGGCTAAATTTTTTATTTTTATTTTTTGTAGAGACAAGATCTCTTTATGTTGCCTAGGGGAGTCTTGAACATTTAGGCTTTAGAGATCCTCTGGCCTTGGTCTCCCAAAGTGCTGGGATTACAGGTTTGAGCCACTGCACCTGGCAGGAGAAAATCATATTTGGTAAATAAACACGTATATCATCATGTGCCCCATGACATTTCAGTTAATAAGGAACCACATATAAGACAGTAGTCTTGAGGCGGGCAGATTGCCTGATATCAGGAGTTGGAAAGCAGCCAGGCCAACATGGTGAAATCCCGTCTCTACTAAAAATACATAAAAATTAGCTGGGTGTGGTGGTGGCCGCCTGTAATCTCAGCTACTCAGGAGGCAGAAGAATTGCTTGAACCTGGGAGGCAGAGGTTGCAGTGAGCAGAGATCGCACCACTGCACTCTAGCATGGGTAACAAGAGCCAGACTCTGTCTCAAAAAAAAAAAAGAAGTGGTCCCATTAGATTATAATACCATATTTTGACTGTACCTTATCTATGTTTAGATACACAAATACCATCTTGTGACCATTGCCTGCAGGATTCAGTACAGTAATATTTGTACAGATTTATATACAAATCTGCACAAATTTGTACAAATATTAAGTTGTACAGATTTGTAGCTTAGATGAAGCAAGCTACACCAAGTAGCTTAGGTGTATAGCAGGCTGTGCCGTCTAGGTTTGTGTAACTACACTTTTTGATTCACACAGTGGCAACAAAATCACATAGCAATGCATGTTTCAGAATGTTTCCCAATCATTAAGTGACTCATGATTGCACATAATCACTCGGGTCTATAAAATAAAGATAACCAGAAGACTTACTCCAAAGGGTTGTTGGGGTGATAATATAATCAATACTTATAATTAATACTATAAAATAATATAATACAAAGTATTTATGGTATTTATAAATATAGACCTAAAATATAAAAGTTTTACTCATTATAATGCTTTTTTTTCTTCTTTTGAGACGGAGTCTTTCTTCTCTGTCACCCTGGGTGGTGTGTAGTGGCTTGATCTTGGCTCACTGCAACCTCTACCTCCTGGGCTCAGGTGATTCTCCTGCCTTAGCCTCCCTAGTAGCTGGGATTACAGGCGCCTGCCACCACGCCCAGCTAATTTTTGTATTTTTAGTAGAGAAGAGGTTTCACCTTATTAGCCAGGCTGTTCTCAAACTCCTGACCTCAAGTGATTCACCTGTCTCGGCCTTCCGAAGTACTGGAATTGCAGGTGTGAGCCACCATGCCCAGCCTACTTACTATAATACTTCTGAGTATTAAAAAACACTTTTATGTCCAGCACATGATAAATCCTCAATAAATATAATGTACTACTATGACAGATTAAGAGAAAAAGCTACTGAAATAAGGCTGCAATACTTGCATTTAGGAAACACTGTAGGAATAGGACAGAAAAGCTTGGCTAACTGAATTGAGAAATATATTAAACAAAATGTCTTCAGAGTAGGTGCCATTTGAACTGGCTAGAGAAAGAGAGAGAGAATCGCTTGTTAGGGGAAGAAGTATCAGGAGCAAAGTTTTGGACCAGGAAGGGGAACCAACCGCTTTCTTCCTTGATCCCTCCCACTGAAGAGTTTTTCACAGTTTGCCTTACACACTTTGGGGGCCCTAGGCAGGTAGATCACAAAGTCAGGAGTTCAAGAACAGCCAGCCAAAAATGGTGAAACCCTATCTCTACCAAAAATACAAAAATTAGCCAAGCGTGGTGGAGGGTGCCTGTAATCCCAGCTAACCGGAAGGCTGAGGCAGGAGAATCGCTTGAACCCGGGAGGTGGACGTTGCAGTGAGCGGAGATCACACCACTGCACTCCAGCCTGGGCAACACAGTGAGACTCTGGCTCAAAAAAACAAAAACAAAAGAACCTCATTTTATGGGTTCTTCAAACAATGTTTTTGTGTTTACTCCAGCATAAGATCTGTCATATAGAGTCTCTTTATGGAGACCCATGCATTTTAAAAGACTCTCATAAACACCATTGTTTATGAATTAGTATTAGTATGGTTGATAATTTTACACCTTAGGTTTACAATATAATGATCTTAAGGCTTTGCTCATCCAAAATCAACTTTTCCCAGCTCCCTTACTATTAACTCATTCCTTGTATTTATTATTCAGTTTTCTATTTCTACACTTGATTTTAGCCAAAAGGCCGAAAAGTAATCAGTTTTCTATTTCTTTGGACTGAGTGGGCATGAGACATAGAATGGGAAAGAAAGCATGCAATTAGAAAATATTGTACAAAACTACTGGCTATTTTATATAAAAAATGAAATTTGAGGTCTCAGGGTGCAAAATCAATATGGAAGAATTTTATCACTTTGTTAGAAGATGCAGTCGGAGTCCATCCACTATGCTCTCAGAGACTTGGTGGATATCTGTCAGTTTCGTTTGTCATTCAGGAGGAATACCTGGATTTTCTCTGAGGAGTCATCCCTGCTTGGTCTCAGACTACAAGGTTCATGCGGTGCTTTGCCAAGTCTACTTCCTATCCCCTCCAGTCTTAGGGAGGGGGAATAGCTCAAGCTCAGCCACTCAGGCTTTCTCTTCTGGGAAGCTGAACTCTGAGTGATGAGACACAAAAGTAGCAATATACTTGGAACCGATTCTTCCTGGGAGCAGAACCTTGAAGAGGCTGTTTATTCACTCCTGCTACCTGGAGTCCTGAAGCTATTTGGTTTCCATCTTTGTTCCCTCATGATCTGAGTGTTCAGCTTTTGGTTTCTATGAGCCACTCCATATCCTTCCAATAATTTTCCTCTTTTCTTTTGCTTCATTTAGTCAGAGTTTAACTGATAGTGATAGAATGAAAGTGTGAACACAGAAAAAATACCGCTAGATGACTGAGTTCAGCTTACTAGACAGCATTTTCTCACTGGACATGTATTTTGAAAGCACATACCAGCACCAGGCACTGCTCTAGGCACTGAGTCAATGACAAACAAAACAAAACAAATTCTGAGAACAATAGGTGTGGCTGGGCACTGTGGCTCATGCCTGTAATCCCAGCTGTTGGGAGATCGCTTGAGCCCAGGAGTTTGAGAACAATAGACATTCTAACAGATATTTGTTGTTGGGCTTTCAGGAACTAAATGAATGGGCTCATGACATTTGTTCGACCTTAGGATAATTTTTTATATGACCCTCTGTGAGAGGCTCTAATAAATTTTTTTAACCAAAAGAATACGAATATTAACAACAATCTGGGTAAATATTTCAAAAAAGAGTTCTTCCTGTGGAAAAGCAAGCCAAGTGTTGATTTAAATTTCTCAATGATCAAAGTGTTAAAGTAATATGTTTTGAATAGAGCCATCTATAAAACATATCCGTATAAACAACAAAACTTGTAAACGTGTAATGGGCAAAAGTAATAAAACTATTGAAATAATGCATTTTCCTCATACCAACCCTATCCATTAATTTTTTACAGTTTTCTACCATGTAACATTACCCTTCATAAAAATGATATTTTAAAATGAGATGGGGTTGGTAAAAGAAACGACGGGTAATAACGGAAGGGGGATTGTAAAGCTGTGCTCTGCTGGATGAGGGATAAGGGAAAATACAATTCATCTGGGCTTTCTCTGAGCCAGAGGCCATGGTCTGTGGCCTTTAAAGGGTGAGCAATGCTCAGAGCCAAGGATTTTTATATCCTTATTTTGATTATTTGTTTCTTTTCTCTAAAGAAATCAAGCACAAGCTATTTAAAATAATGAAATTCACTTCAAAAAATACTTTTTAAGCAAAGTTGTGAATCTCTCATGTATTAAACATTTAAAAATTCTTCATGCATTGTTGTATGGGTTGTATAGAATCTAAATGTAATATGACAGTGGCAACTTGGTGCAGTGAAGGGACATAGATTTTGATTCGGATGGATCTGAGTTCTAATCCTGACTCTGCTATATATAAGTTATTTGACCTCTATGTAACTGTATTTATTTACCTGCAAAGTGGAGATGATAACTCCTAGCAAGTAGTGAGTACTCAGGGTTAGATGATTTTCTTCATCCTTTGTTCTGATAATACTTCAAATTAGGAAAGAATAGCTTATTTGCAGCTACAGGCCATTGCAGTATTATTGTTATTTATTATTATTATTTTTTGAGACAAAGTCCCACTCTGTTCCAGGCTGGAGTGCAGTGACATGATCTCGGCTCACTGCAACCTCCAACTCCCTGCTCAGGCAATTATTCTGCCTCAGCCTCCCAAGTAGCTAGGCTTACAGGCATGTGCCACCATGCCCAGCTAATTTTTGTATTTTTAGTAGAGTTGGGGTTTTACTGTGTTGGCCAGGATAGTCTCAGTCTCCTGACCTTGTGATCCGCCTGCCTCGGCTTCCCAAAGTGCTGGGATTACAGGTGTGAACCACCACATTACAGTATTGTTGAGTCTCACTTAAAATGCTTGATATCCTTTGATATTATGTGTCAACAAAGTAAAAATGTGCATGCTTGCAATTCCTAAAAATAAACTAAAATAAATAAAAGGTTGAAATTCTTACATTTATATTAAAATGAGAATCCATACTATAGCATCATTTTGGAAAATGGAATTATCTGAGATTTAAATGCTTTATTTCTCCATTTAATCAGCACACCCTGAGCACCTATTAGACTCTGGGCCCCATGGTAGGCATTGAGAATACAAAGATAAATAAAACATGATTCTGGACTTCAAAGAGTTACTTCACCCTCTTCCATAATGGGTGAAGATCATGTGCAGAGAATGAAATGCAGAAATATAGGATGGAGTGCCTCATGGGAACACTGGGGAGAGTTACCTCATTGGTGAGTGTGGAGTGTCAGGGGACAAGGGAAGTCTTCTAGCAGACGTGGTGGTGATGGTATCTGTTTCAAGCCTTAGGGAATGAGTTGAAGTTATCTAGGTGGACTAGGTGGAGGAGACTAGAGTAAGAGGACATTCCAGGCAGTGGGGCAGGAAAATCATATGGAGATGAACCCACATGGTGCATGTATGTGTGTTGAATGTGTGTGGGGAGTGGGGGTGGGTGGGTAAGGATGTACCAGGAATCAGTGCTATGGTGCACAGAGCTAGAGGTAGGGAGTAATGAGAGTGATATTATTGGAGAGGCAGGCAGGGGCCAGATCATGGGTGTTTTCTTTCCCAGGCCAAGTTGCTCAAGCTTTATGCAGAAGGACAAGTGATGGCTTGGGCACAGCTGAAATACCTCTGCTCAAACCTGTGTGAAGAATAACAATTAGGGTAGTAAAGCACATTAGGAAACGGGTGATGTGGTCTGTGTGTGGTCCAGGGCCAGGTTGTAAGGGCTTGATGGAGGCCAGGTTCACTGGGACACGGAACAGTAGGAGGGCTGGATGGTTGGTAGCAGAGAGGGGTGAGCTCAGGGGCAGGAGGAAGAGAGAGAATCCAGGCTGACGCTCAGCTCTGGAGTAGGTACCTGAGGTGATGCCATCATCCAAGACATGGATATGAATGAGGGTTATGATCCAAGTTCGGGCATTCAGTGAAATCAAACTGTGGGTCTCTTAAAACTGGGCTGACTGTGGTTTTGCTGCTGTTGTTGTTTTTCTTTCTCTCTCTCTCTTTTTTTTTTTTTTTTTTTTTTTTTTTGAGACAGAGTCTCACTGTGTCACCAGGCCGGAGGTCAATGGTGCAATCTGGGCTCACTGCAACCTCTGTCTCCTGGGTTCAAGTGATTCTCCTGCCTCAGCCTTCTGAGTAGCTGGGACTACAGGTGCACACCACCACACCCAGCTAATTTTTGTATTTTCAGTAGAGATGGAGTTTCACTATGTTGACCAGGATGGTCTCAATCTCTTGACCTCCCAAGTGCTGGGATTACAGGTGTGAGCCACCGTGCCTGGCCAACTGTTGGTTTCGGAATACCTTGGTGAGATTTTGTTATAGGGAGCAGCACTGACCACTTCTGGTGCATGCAGAAGGCCTAACATGGAGTGAGCATGGAGGGGATGAGCCATAAATAAGCTTTCACTCCGCTCCTTAGTAGCTCCAGGATAGTGGGCAAGTCACATTAGCACTCCAGATTTCCTGTCCCTCGTTGTGGGAATAAGTTGGTTTGACAAATAATCTCTAAACAATTATTCTTATTTGATTAAATAAAACCACGTAATGTGATTCTCGTTCCCCAATTTTTTAGTTAACAGTAAACACCCCCACCCCTGAAACATGGTGCAAAAGTTTCTCTCTCCTAAATTTATGAGATATTTGATATTTAATGTCAAAATAGGAGTTTTCTTAACTCTTAAGAATATTCGTAGCTCCTTCTTGTCAGGAATTGCTTGCAACTCTTAGAGGATGTGAATCACTCCCAAAGCATTTATCTTCCAACTTTCAAATGCATTTTTGGAAACAAATATCAGTTGTTAACCAGAGCTTTCCTACGTGCAGCAGAAACTCTCTTCCACAAGGCTTTCCTTCCCTTCCCTACTCAGTAAACTGCCTAATACAAACAGGGGGTCACTTCGGGGGCAGTAACGTCTGACATTAAAGAATGCATTCTAGGCAGGGTGCGGTGGCTCACGCCTGTAATCCCAGGACTTTGGGAGGCCAAGGCGGGTGGATCATGAGGTCAAGAGATTGAGACCATCCTGGTCAACATGGTGAAACCCTGTCTTTACTAAAAATACAAAAATTAGCCGGGCATGCGCCTGGGGTACCAGCTGGAGGCAGAAGAATCGTTGTATCCAGGAGGCGGAGGTAGCAGCGAGCCAGACTGCGCCACTGCGCTCCAGCCTGGCGGCAGAGCAAGACTCCGTCTCAAAAAAAAAAAAAAAAAAAAAAGAAAGAAAGAATACATTCTAAGTAAAACAATGTGTTTTTCAAATTAGCACACATGCCAAATATATATATATATATAGACATAGTACACCTTAATGGCTTTCAAAGAGCCATTAGGCTCAAGTGAGTGAATATATGCACAATCGCATCCCAAAATAGCCATTTTACCTGTATATATAACAAGATAAGTTCATTTCTCTTTGAATTTTCCTTCGCTCCTTTCTAAGTAATTTTCCTAGCCCATTTGAGAGCAAAGGGACACATTTTTTCAAGGTTTGGGTGTTTGCTTGCTTGGTTCCAAAGTTCATGGAATAACCGAGAAGTGTGTTCATCTGCTGTTGAGTGGCCTAAACGAGGGGGCATTCTACCTAGTTAAGACCTACTACAGTTTCCCTATTAACAGAGGCACCAGCAAAGTGTAAGAAGCCTAAGGAGATTAATGTAAAATGTTTGCAGGGTAGAAACATTTCTTTAGAAATAAAATAATACATCCTCTACCCCCCAAGAATTAGCACTTGAGGCACGTTAATTGGACAAACTCGGTGTTTAGATCAGGAGTCTGTCCAGTTGCTGTCACCAGAGGAAATAGAAGCAAAGGGGTTAATAATTGCTGACAATTTTTTTTAACAAGCAGTTTTATTGCAGAAATGGGAGTTGAACCGGAACATTCACAATCAGAACGAAAGGGCAGGCAGGCAGATCTGGAAAACTCACCATTCTATGTGAAAAGGAAAGTTTCCACGGATTTCAGAGAAGCCAAAGAAAAGGGTTTATTTTATATTTGAGAACAAAGCTTAATTTAGGTTTTTAAGGACCAGTCACCCGACATTTGAAATCCATACATAATGCTCTGAAGAAATGCAACAATGCCTCCATTTGATAATGGAAAGGAAAGCATTTATATCTGACAATACCTTATGCAATGTTTATAAGATACATGTCTCTAGGTGTGTGGAATTTAATGTGTTGACTTTTATTTCTAAAGAATTGTGTTGTTTACCTGCTATCTTAGAGATTACTGTTCCACATTGAACAGTGAAGGTGAAAGGATACCAATCAGCCAGTGTGTATCTTCTGACAATTTCCAGATTTTTATCTAGAGACACCCAGCAGCAGAGAATCATTCATGGGTGATATGTTTTAGTAAGAAACAGCACATGGGAGTCAGAAGATAGAATTCAATGTCTCGTTCACACCTGCAATCCCAGTTACTCTGGAGGCTGAGGCATGAGAATCGCTTGAACGTAGGAGGCAGAGGTTGCAGTGAATCCAAATCACACCACTGCACTCCAGCCTGGGTAACAGAGCAAGACTTTGTCTCAAAAAACAAACAAACAAAAAAAAAAAACTGTGGCCATGGGGAAATAGTTTCTTCCAATGGTTCCCAAACATTATTGCATGACAAAACCATCTGTTGAGCTTTATGTATGCACATATACACCTGATCCATCCTCCTGAAATTCTAGCTCAGTAGGTCAGAGATTGGTCTCTGTATTGTTTAAAAGCAGTGGGGTCAATAACTACTGACAAATCCACCGCACTTGAGTGCCCTCATTTGTAAAATAGGGACCAGCATTTTTTATTCAGCTTACAGGATTGTTGTGAAGACTAACTACAATGATATATTTAAGACACCAGTGCAATACTCAGAAGAGGGTCACTTATTTTTCTTTCAGTGGGCCATGGTTGTTCTAGTTCAGAGCTCCCCAAAGTGAATTCTAAGGAGCAATAACCCTATGGGATGCTTTATGGAAAAACTGTGTACCATCCATCATATTTGGCAGCTGCACATTACACTCTCTTCCAGACTGTTAATGGGACCATTAGCACCTTAAAGTTTCTGAAAGGACCTGAAAAAAAGGAACTGGCTACGTTGGTTGAACTCAGTGTTTCTCAGTGATTTGACTACCCAATTCTTTCTTCCTGTGGCAATTATTTATTGATGTTGGATGGAACTTGCTTTAGTGAACGAACAGTCCTCTTTATGATCGCTAACTAATGTTCTACCTTCTATAACCTCCCTCAAGGAATTGCCCGCTTGTTTTTACTCTGATTGAAACCCAGCCTTTCTGATCATTGTGAAGAATATCTGCTCTTTTCCTGAACTGCTAGTTTAAATGGACTCTCATATTGAACACGATTCCATTTAAATACTGTAGTTTTTACTTTAACTGAGGTATGTATGAAGGCAGAACACAAATGATCTGGAAAAAAAATTAAGCCATCAATTTAGAAATAAAATTAACACCTAAACAGTAGAAATTCACAAGTTCATGACTGTTAAATAAAGGGAAGACAGTTACATTTTGAAAGCTCCTGTTTTACCCTGGAAACCAGTCAAATGGGATAAAATTTAGAAATGCAGGTTATGCTTCAAGCGATATTAATCCAGGGATCAAAAATAAGTGGTAGAAATGGATATAGATGTAGTAAAAAATTTGAGTCTTGAGGATAGCACTGTTTCTCTTAAGTCAATGATTTAAGGGCTTTTAGGAAGTTGAATATAATCATGTAGATTTTTTGGTGACCTCATTTTTCTGGTCTGTACTCTTAAAGAAAGAATAATCAGCTTCTAATGTGCCCTTCTGGGAATGAAAAGCAGAATGGCCAAGTGTATGTCTGATTGGGGTGTACTTGCAAAAGAATCACCTACTCATTCAAGCAGAAGAAGACACAGGCATAGACACATGGTGTTGGGATGGATGAATAGACATGATGTGTGGGGATGGATAGATGTGATGTGTAAAGTCAGGTCTGGCAGAGTTTACAGTAAGAATTTGCTTCAGATGACTACTCAGAGAAGCATATATGTATTTTTCATGCATCTTGCTTTTACAGGTTTCTGAGATAAAAATCTCAGAAGAACAGCTTTGCTCGTGAGCTTTCCGATATTTCCACTGTGGTCCTGGCCAGAAACACTGTGAGAACACCCTTTCATTTGGTATTTGAGCCCTTCTGCCTCTGTTCCTGGCTGCAGACCAAAGGGAACAAATGCAACTGAACATTTCAGAACCTCAAAATAGTAAACCAAAAATGGTCTGCTCTGCTTTTGGTTCTAAAAATGATCAACCCCAAAGCCTTGTTCCAAATAATCTGGTGGATCCATCTCTAATGTGGATTACTGGATTTTAGAAGCCTTTTGGAGGGTGGTGTTTTTAAAATAGGTAACTAAGAACAAAGAAAACAGTTAATCCAAGTGGTTGTAGTACAGGTATCTGACCACCACAGCAGTGACTAGATTTAATAAACATACTTTATGCTCTAGTGTCAAATAATTAGAAGAAAGTGGATTAGAATTTAGAGTGGAATATCTGGGCTTGAATGTTGACTTGATCTTACCAGCTGAATGTCTAGAGCATATTTCTGAGGCTCAGTTGTTACCTGTGGGTAAAATTAATAATAAAAATGAAAAATGAGTATATCCATTTTAATTGAGTCATTATGAGGAGCAACATTATAAAAAAACTTCTAAAATTGGAATGTCCATGTTAATATGAAAGTCAGTAAATCCCAGTGATTAGAAGTTTGAACTTTACAACACAACACATCTGGGTTCAAATTTCTGCTCTTCTACTTTCTAGCTCTGTTGCCCTATATGGGTCACTAAAAATCTTTGACGATCAGTTTTATCATCTGTGAAATGGGGTTAATGTTGTCGGGAGAATGAAATCAAGTAATGTGTATAAAATATTTGGCACACAGTTAATGCTAGAAAAATTGCTGGCTATTAATACATGTATAAATGATGATCATGGTGATTTTATATACTCATAATTTTAGGTGCCAGTCCAAATACAGACATATGAGAATGTGGCTAGATCCTTGATTTTCCCCAATCTTCTTTTCATGAAGTTACATACTCTATAGCATCAGTGGGTGAGTTGACTTAGGAGGGGTGCCAGTATGAGTTTGGAGTAGCTTACTTGGTCAGATCCAAAATATGGCTTTTGCTAAATGTAAGGATCTAGGGGAGAGAGTAGAAAACTCTGCTGGGCCAATGCCAAGTATGAAGCAATGCTGATCTTGGCAATTTTTGGCATCCAATTTTCACCCATTAAGAAAGGAGGGTTAAAAGGTATAAATAAATGCAAGGCCATAATAAAATCATTGTGGAATTAAAACATTAAACCCATGGGCTCTTAATTATCAAACAGCAGTTATTATTTACAAGCATTCTCATATTAAGGACTTAGGGACTTCATAAGTCCCTCCCCTCCCCTCCTCTCCCCTCTCCTCCCCTTGCCTTCCCTCCCCTTGCCTCCCCTCCCCTCCCCTCGCCTCCCCTCTCCTCTCCTCCCCTCGCCTCCCCTCTCCTCTCCTCCCCTCGCCTCCCCTCTCCTCTCCTCCCTTTCCTGGTTTTGCTCTGCTGCTCAGGCTGGAGTGCAGCAGCATGACCTGGGCTCAATGCAGCCTCCACCTCAGGCTCAAGCAGTCCTTCCACCTCAGCTTCCTGAGTGGAACCACAGGTGTATACCATCACACCTGGATAATTAAAAAAAATATTTTTTATAAAAACTGGGTCTTGGCCAGGCTCACTCCTGTAATCCCAGCACTTTGGGAGACCAACATGGGAAGATCACAAGGTCAGGAACTCAAGACCAGCCTGGCCAATATGGTGAAACATCATCTCTACTAAAAATACAAAAATTAGCCGGGTGTGGTGGCGTGTGCCTTGAGTCCCAGCTACTCAGGAGGGTGAGGCAGAAGAATCTCTTGAACCTGGGAGGCAGAGGTTGCAGCAAGCCTATATCATGCCACTGCTCTCCAGCTTAGGTGACAGAGTGAGACTCCGTCTCAAAAAAACAAAAACAAAAACGGGGTCTCAATATGTTGCTCAGGCTGGTCTCAAACTCCCACTTCAGCTGATCCTCCCACTTCAGCCTCCTAAAGTGCTGGGATTACAGGCACTGTGTCTGGCTCAGATACTTGTCTTAAAAACAAATATTTACTACCAGCAACCTGACTGGCCTAAAATGTGACTGGCAGCTTATTTTATACTCCCCATACACATTAAATGTAGAAACTTAGTAACTATTAGATTTGATTAAATATTAAAATGTCATATTTTTCAGCCAGTGAAAAAGTTATTTTATATCTGCTCTAGGGGAAATGACTAGCTTGCTACCTTTTAATGGTATTAGTGATACAGTATTTTCTCTTCCTCCCTTCACAGTCAAAATCTTGGATGGCTTACTCTCCTTGAGAACACTTCCTCATGGATTTTGAATCTCCAGCTCGTTCCACTCCCAGGTACTGAAACCATATTCTTCATAGATCCCTCTGCCTGCTCAAGGGTCAACGTGATTCTTCTCTTGCCATTTTGCATCAGTGGCCATGTTGAAAATCCTTGCACTTGCTGTCTGCTGCACTCTTCCTGTATTTTGTTTTCTTCTGAATTCTGATGAATACTTTTTTTTCTGTTGCTTTAAGGTACATGCTCAGGGTTCTGTTCATTATCATCTTCTCTTTGCCTGATCCTTTATCTTTAAGCAAACCCATCCATTCTTGCTTCTCTGGTTATCTCCTCTCTCCCAAGAACTGGGCCACCATGATTTTTCTCCTAAGCTTGTTATCTTCACCTGGATTTCCTCAAGCTCGGTATATAAAGCCAAAACTCTTCAATTGTCTTTGTAAGCCAGCTCTCCTATCCCTTCTTCTTTGTCTCAGCCATTTTGTTTGTATATGGAAATAAACCTCCTGGTGTTAAAACCTCAAAACTGCAGCATTATCTTTGTCTCTACACTCTTGTTTGACCTCTAGATCCAGGAAATACCCCAGTTTCATTGTAAGGCCTGTCAATTTTATCTCACAATGTTTTTCACACTTATAAGATAGATAGACCAAAGCAAGGGTCTGGGTGACATTCTCTGTGATGCTCATGCTTATGTTCTCAAGATAGTTCTGGAACTCTAGCTGTAGCTTCTGCATTTCAGGCAGAAAGGAAGAGGATGATCACAGAAACACAGGACATCTGCCAACTGAGCCTGCCACCTTCTAAGGGGAGCATTCCTGAAAGCAGCACGTGATAATCTTTGCTGACATTGAATTGAGCAGAGTAGTATTTCATGACCACCCTGATCTACAAGGGAGGCAGGAAGTGTAGTTCAGAAGATGTGGACACAGTGCTGTTTCCATAAATGGGAGTTATATTGGTAAGGAAGAAAGTGCGGAATGTTTTGGGGTAGGCAGTTGACAGTCTCTAACACCTTTTTTCTTAACTTCCCTATGTTTACTGAAATTCCCACTGACTTTGAATAAAACAATCCTTGTTTCCCATCATCATCATCTAACTTCACGTCTTCATTGTCCTTTTGCTTAGATTACAAAACCAAGTGGACTCTGTGTGCCTCTACTTCACTGCAATTCCTGTCCTTGTTCATTAATCTATTAATTCAGCAGGAAAATATTGTTAACAGGCACCGTGCTATGTGCTAGCAATGAAGAGAATCGTGACTTTTGACTTCAGGGCCTCACAGTTCAGTTGGAGAGAGCAATGTGGCACCGTTTGACTTAGGACAACCCAAGAAGTGACATAACAGAGACAGAGGAAAGGGACCGAAGAAGCAGCGAGAACATCCTGACTAATTCAATCTGGAAACAGTGAGGAAGACCTTCCAGGGGTGAGGTTGTGAGCTGACTTGTGTATTAGGAATTTCTTGGTTCAACACACAGAGAAATAACAAGTTTTCTGTTGTTGTAAACTATTCCTTACTAATTAAAAACAAAGTGGTCCTATTCTTGACCTCACTCTGAATTTAATTTTTTAAGAATGTAATCATAAGTGAAAGCAATTTTAAAGATAGCATTATAGGGCATAGTATTGATAAATGAGAGGAAAACTGGTTCTTAAAGAGTGTACCACTCACTTACCATGCCCTGAAATTAACTGAGAGCTCATTTGTCAAGAGAGCACCTACCCTATAGAGAATTCTTCCAATTAACATCAAAAGCGATCATTCTTAACCTCTCATGCATTAAGAAAATCTCGTCTGCACCCAGTGTTCTGTTCCTCATCAATGAAGCCCTTTATGTATGTTATTCCAAATTTATCACCCTGTATATTACTAAAATGAACGAATTAATAAATGAATCTGCTGTAGGTCCAGAAGCCAGATTTATTTGTTGTCTCCCGGTTCTCATGGGATTTTCCTTTGGTCTCCAAGACATTTCACTCTGCAGTTTCTCATAGTTTGGGATATTTATTGATAGCTACTGACAGCATGAGTTGGTACTCACAGACTCACAATGGTTGTATCAGAAAAGTGGTTTTGAGGAGGATTAGTTAAATTCTAAAAATGTCAGCCAAGTCACTCTCAGGCTATGCTAAAAAGGCAGAGCAAGTGTTGTGCTATATCAGTTCTAACAGTATTATATTGCTATAAAAAGCACACATGAAAATAAATTAAATGATGCTTAATGCTGGTGAGGTCATGGTAAACCTGATGTAGAATTGTAGGCAAGGCTGGGTGTAGAAGGATACCCAATGGAGTATTACATAAACTACAGAATACTCATGAGCTAGAACATGAGTACTCTTCAAAATTGGTGCTTTCCAATCATTTTGATTACATGGAGAAGTGCTTACTGTGTTCAATGAACAAGAAGAAAACAGTTGCATCCAGATCTGATCGATGTACATGCGGATACATATGTCATACATGCATACACCTCTTTCAAATGATTTGCATCAGAATGTTAATGATAGTCTAAGTTTAAGTGATAAGATATAGGAATCTATTATCATCTTTAAAGTTCTCTAAATTTTATAAATTTCTAATCAAGATGCACAAGTTTCACAGTCAGAAATAAATCACTCTTTTTTTGTGTGTGGAATGCAATGGTACGATTACAGCTCACTGCAGACTCTACCTCCTGGGCCCAAGCGATACTCCCACCTTCCCACCTCAGTCCCCTGAGTAGCTGGGACCACAGGTGATATGGTTTGGCTATGTCCCCACCCAAATCTCATTTTAAATCATAGCTCACATAATTCACACATCTTGTGGGAGGGACCTGGTGGGAAGTAACTGAATCATAGGGGTGGTCTTTCCCGTACTGCTCTGGTGAGAGTTAATAAGCCTCACGAGATCTGATGGTTTTATAAAGGGGAGTTCCCCTGCAAACATGCTCTCTTGCCTGCCACTGTGCAAGACATGACTTTGCTCCTCCTTTGCCTTCTGCCATGATTTCGAGGCCTCCCAGCCATGTAGAACTGTGAGTCAACTAAACCACTTTTCTTTCCAAATTACCCAGTCTTGGGTATATCTTTATTGGCAGCAGGAGAGCAGACTAATACAACAGGGACATGCCACCACACCTTGCTAATTTTTTATTTTTGTAGAGAAAAGGTTTTGCCACGTTCCAGCCCAGCCTGGTCTCGAACTCCTGGGCTCAAGCAATCCTCCTAACTTAGCCTCCAATAGTTCTGAGATCACAGGCTTGAGCCACTTTGCCTGGCCAGAAATTAATCACTCTTAAAAGGAAAACTTAAAAGGACCATGTAGTAGAGGATGAAGACATTATTTATAGGTATTTTTTTTTACAGGTATACATTCTACACTGCTAATTCTCAGACCCACATATAATGTGAGATCAATTTCACTAAGGGGCTCAGTGCAGGCTCTGGCCCAGGGAGGCTGCTCCAGGCTTTGAGCCTAACTGCCTGCCACCACTCTATCCCCTCCCACCCCATTCTCAGACTGCCATCAGATTTCTCTTTCCACAGCATAGCTATTGCCCTGTTATCCTGTCTCTGGAAACATTTTTAAAACCTGTTATCCTCTCTCTGGAAACACTGTTAAAAGCTTCCCGATTGTGCACAGAATACATCCTCCCCCTCCACTGGCTCCAGTTCATGTCCTCAGTCTGATATCTCTCACATCTCTCACACCTCCTGCACTCCAGCACAATGGAGCTACCTTAATGACCCTCTTCGCCTCCCCCTGCCTCCCACTTTACTCTCGTTTTTGCTTCTTCTACCCATTCTTTCAGACCCTGCTCAGATTCCCATAGTGACCACTCTGAATTAATCGTTCCCTCCATTATTTCCTCTTTGCACTTTATTGATCTCTTTTATTGTGTTAATCAGAATTTTACTTGTATTATGGTTCTTTGTGTCTTTTTGTTCTTGCATTGATTTTAGCCCCCCAAATCATGTCTTCATTTGTAATCTTTATGGAGTGGTTCTCAAACGTTAGCATGTATCCCAATCATCGGAGGGTTCATTAAAACAGATTGCTGCACTCTATCCCTGGTGTTTCTAATTCAATACATCTGGGGTGGGGCAGGAGAATTGGCATTTCTAATAAATCCCCAGGTGATCCTGCTGCTGCCTCAGTTTGGCACCCACACTTGAAGCACCACTGCTTTTCTTTTTGGGTTTCTTTTCTTTTCTTTTTTTCTTTCTTTCTCTCTCTCTCTCTCTCTCTCTCTCTCTCTCTCTCTCTCTCTCTCTCTCTCTCTCTCTTTCTTTCTTTCTTGAGACGGAGTCTCACTCTGTAGCCCAGGCTGGAATGCAGTGGCACAATCTCAGCTCACTGCAACTTCCGCCTTCTGACTCCTGGCTCAAGTGATTCTCATGCCTCAGCCTCTGGATTAGCTGGGATTACAGGTGCTCCCCCTCTCACCGTGCCATCTAATTTTTAAATTTTTAGTAGAGATGGGGTTTCACCATGTTGGCCAGGTTGGTCTTGAACTCCTGACCTCGTGATCTGCCGGCCTCAGCCTCCCAAAGTGCTGGGATTACAGGGGTAAGCCACCACGCCCAGGCACTGCTTTTCAAAACTAGGAAACAATGAACTAACATAAATGAACTTGCTATAGTAGATAGGGACTGGAAGTTCAGAACACAGGACTAAAAAACGTCGGTTCTACCACTCAATGCTTAAACAAGTTATTTAATCCCTCTGAATCTTCATTTTCTTGCCAGAAAAAATGGAGATATTATTACAGTAAGTCTTCAGTGTCACCCATAGCTTCTTGGAAACTGTGAATTTAAGCAAAACAATACATAACAAAACTAATCTTACAATGGGCTAACTTACATAAATAAGAGTTAAGGGCCTATGAAGTACTTCTGGTCACAAAAGCATCACCTAACTTCTAAATAAACACAAAAACACAGCTGGGCACAGGGACTCACACCTGTAATCCCAGTACTTTGGGAGGCCAAGGCGGGTGGATCACCTGAGGTCAGGAGTTTGAGACCAGCTTAACCAACATGGCAAAATTAGCTGGGTGTGATGGCAGATGCCTGTAAATCCCAACCACTCAGGAGGCTGAGGCAGAAGAATCATTTGAACCTGGGAAGTGGAGGTTGCAGTGAGCAGAGATTGTGCCACTACACTCCAGCTTGGGTGACAAGAGCCGGACTCGCTCTCAAAAAAAACAAAAAACAAAAAACACTTCTAATATTAAACATTGAAATAAATATGACTATACATATATTTAAGAAAGATTAATAAACACAAACAAGGTCATTATTTAAATGCTTTTTCCAATTCAAGGTTAGGAGTGATCAGAGCCCATCCCAGCAGCTCAGGGCATAACGTTGGAGCCAGCCCTGGACAGGATGTCAATCCATTGTAGGGGGCACTGACACCAACCCACACTCACTCACACTGGGACTGTGTGAAGATGTCGGTTAACCTAACATGCACATCTTAGGGGATACCTGGAGAAAACCCACAAAGATAGTCACCCCAGCTGGGGAGAGATTTTTTTCACCTGAGTATTATAAAGAAACAACAGTACTTTGGGAGGCTGAAGCGAAGCAGGCAGATCACAAGGTCAGGAGATCGAGACCATCCTGACTAACACAGTGAAACCCCCATCTAAACTAAAGATACAAAAAATTAGTTGTGCTTGGTGGCATGCACCTGTAATCCCAGCTGCTGGGGAGGCTGAGGCGAGAATCGCTTGAACCCGGGAGATGGAAGTTGCAGTGAGCTGAGATTGCGCCACTACACTCCAGCCTGGGTGACAGAGCAAGACTTTGTCTCAAAAAAAAAAAAAAAACAAAAACAAAAAGAAAGAAACAAAACTGAACAAAATAGTTATTCAAGAACCAACCGTACCTCTTAAATAGGGTTGTCCTGAGGGTTAGGTGAGATCATGTTTGCAAAGTGTCCAGTAAGTGGTTGCTACCATGAGTATTAACTTGTTTATTCTATGCCATAACTTTATAAGATAAATTTTGCCACCATTTTACAGACAAAGAGACTGAGGCAAATGGAGGACCCATAGTTTACCAGAAGTCCTCGACCTTGTGAAAAACAAGACTGAGATTCTAATTTCAGTCATTTTGACACATTCTACTCTACCCACCACAGCATATTAAATGTAATACACACTCAAAAAACATTCTTAATGTTGGATTTCTATATTTCCTTATGCAAAATCTTCTACTGGCATTACCATATCTGAAAACATTTTCCTGGAGCTTTTCTTTCTTGAGTCTCACTCTGTTGACAGGCTGGAGTGCAGTGGTGCTATCTCCGCTCACTTCAACCTTTGCCTCCCAGGTTCAAGCAATTCTCCTGCCTCAGCCTCCCAAGTAACTGGGACTTCAGGTGTGTGCCACTGCACCCAACTAATTTTTATACTTTTAGTAGAGACGGGTTTCACCATGTTGGCCAGGATGGTCTCCATCTCTTGACCTCATGATCTGTCCACTTTGGCCTCCCAAAGTGCTGGGATTACTGGAGTGAGCCACCATGCCTGGCCCTTTCCTGGACTTTTAACTAAAGATTATTTCCATTGTGATGGGCACAAAAGCAGTTTCCATTTTATTTAAAGAGGCTGTGAGAAGCAACAAGTCAGGTAAGTAAAATTAATGATTAAAGAAGGAACTGGCACTTAAAATATATAATATACAGTTTAATTTTCTTTGGTGTTGTTTGTCTTGGGGGGTGTGGAGGTATTTTTTTTATTGTAGATTTTATGATAAATAACTTGGTTTTACTATCATGTTTGAATTTGTTAGACATTAAAATAATAGAGAAAGACCATTTTCTAAATTGAAAATTCACTTGTGTGAGCACTAAATGCTGGGATTTGATTTCTTTGTTTCTATAGAAACAAAAGAAAATTGAGATTAAAATAAGCTAAAATGGAATTAAGTTTTATGAAAACAGTAAAGGAGCTTATTTTACTTGTTCCCAATGTAGTGTGGTGAAATAAACTTTTTATTTAAAACTCAAGCTGTCTGTGGGCCATTCTGCCTTCTGAGAAAAAGTTCCTTTGGAACAGGGAGTGGCAATATTTATATATTAGAAAAACAATCTAATCTCTTTGCCATTTCATTCCAATTTGAGAAATGGCTGGTGGGATGGTTTGGAGGGGATAGTGGAGGATGAACAGTGTCTTCAATGTGAAAACTTAAGCCAGTGCTCCCTGTATTGTTCACCTGCTGCAGGTTTAGCAGAGGCAGTAATGTTAATATCTTTGGGTTGGTAATGACAGCCCAGTAGGATAATTCGGCAAAGAACCAACATTCTCTGTGATAATGGAAAGGAAGGCAAACTGTGAGTTGGAACTGAAAAGCTTTGAACAAAGTAGGCACTTAACACTTGTTTTGACTTGTTTGTGTTGCTTCAATGTAAGACTGAGATATTTAGTACAATGCAAGTACTACCAGGCATGGTGGCTCACACCTGTAATCCCAGACCTTTGGGAGGCTGAGGTGGAAGGATCACTTGAGCCCAGGAATTTGAGGCTGCAGTGAGGTATGATTGTGCCACTGCACGCCAGCCTGGGTGACAGAGCAAGACCCTGTCTCAATTTCAAAAAGCCAAACAACAATAACAAAAAATGTGAATACCCATGTGGTTGGTTTTAGGGAAATCAAGGGAAAGGGGCCAGGTTAAAATGCTGGGTTGGCACAGTTGAAATGAAAAAAGTAATGTCTGTGTTAGAATAGAGATGTGGGGAATTGGGGCTTTTAGGAGACAAAAAACTCTAATAGAAAAAGTCACCATGAGCCTAAATCCACAGGAATTTACAAAAATACTAAGAAGGCTTCCTGACACTGACATTTAAGTTATACTTCTACTACTTCGATAATATGAAATGTAACGTGGTTTTGATATTAGAGTCCTTTGCCTTTTTTTTTTTTTTTTGGAAACAGAGTCTTTCACTCTGTTGCCAGGCTGGAGTGCTGTGGTGTGGTCTCCGGTTACTGCAATGTCTGCCTCCCGGGTTCAAGCAATTCTCCTGCCTCAGCCTCCGGAGTAGCTGGGACTACAAGCACATGCCACCTCACCCAGATAATTTTTGTATTTTTAGTAGAGACAGAGTTTCACCATGTTGGCCAGGATGGTCTCAATCTATTGACCTCATGATCTTCCTGCCTAGACCTCCCAAAAGCTGGGATTACGGGAGTGAGCCACCATACCTGGCCTGCCATTTGCGTTCTTAGTCATCTTTGAGGGTCTAATAAAATAATATTTTCATATGTTACAATAATTCTAACCTAGACAGAAAAGGATACATCTTCAACTCTAGCATGGATTTGCTCCCGCCATTTAACTAAATTGCAAATCAACTGAAAAAAGATTGAAGAGGGAGAAAATCTAAATATCGTTTCCCAAAACGATGACGAGGTTCATGTCTCGGTTAAACAGAGTAAGAACATCCCCCATCCACAAGTCAGAAGACTCGAGTTTGGAATTGCTGGATCTGTAGAATTTGGGTGACAATTCTTGTCTCCTCAAGTATGTTTTTCATATATAAAATTGAACACTGAGATCATGGTATCATGAGGATGTTGAGCAAATAGGAGGCCCTCGGTAAATGCACACTGTTTATTGACATGCAAAGTGACCTGGTAAACTTCGTCACTATGTTGTTTTATTATTTTAATTTTAATTTTTTTCTTTCTTTTTTTTTTTTAAGATGAAATTTCACTCTTTCACCAAGGCTGGAGTGCAGTGGCACAGTCTTGGCTCACTGCAACCTCCACCTCCTGGGTTTAAGCAATTCTCCTACCTTGAGTAGCTGGGATTATAGGCACCCGCCACCAAGCCTGGCTGATTTTTGTATTTTTAGTAGAAACGGAGCTTCACCATGTTGGCCAGGCTGGTCTTGAACTCCTGACCTCATGATCTGCCTACCTTGGCCTCCTAACGTGCTGGGGTTACAGACGTGAGCCACTGCATCCAGCCCTTTTAATTTTTACTTTTACAAGGGAATAGTAGAAGGCAATTAGGGCCACCTTTGTGGGCTTAGTACTCCAAAGGACGTCACATTTAGCTTAAGACTCTGCTGCTTGAAAATCTTCATGCTTTTTAGATGAAAGATCCTGCATTTTCATTTTGCTCTGGGTCCTGCAAATTGTGCAGTCCGCCCAGAAGGTAAAATTACTCTGTAAGCTTCAGCCTTTCTGACTGTTTCTCGAGTACTTTCCCTCTCCATTCCCTGTTATGTGGATAGCACAGGTGACTATATTGCTTAATGGGACTTCATCCCTGGCTATGGTTGATTGGTTCAGAAGAGGGCACCTCACTCCAGATGGTCCAGTTTAGTCCATTCTCATAGCCAAAAGTGATTGGCCCAAAGATGGACATTTGAGGAAAACTGGGTCAAACTCTAGGAATTTGACACTTGGATGGCATGATGGAGCTGATAGACTGTTGATGGCAGTATTTTCCACTTTTTGAACTAGGAAGGAAAAGAAAATTGATTTCGAGAGAGAATAAAAAGGAACCTGGCCAGGCGCGGTGGCTCATACCAGTAATTTCAGCAATTTGAGAGGCTGAGGCAGGTGGATTACCTGAGGTCAGGAGTTCAGTACCAGCCTGGCCAACATGGGGAAACGCTGTTTCCACTAAAAATACAAAAATTAGCCAGGCGTGATGGCATGCGCCTGTGATCCCAGCTACTTGGTGTGCTGAAGCAGGAGAATCGCTTGAGTCTGGGAGGAGGTGAATGTTGCAGTGAGCCGAGATTGCACCATTGCACTCCAGCCTGGGTATCTCAAGAAGAAGAAAAAAAAAAAAAAAAAGAACCACCAGGCATGAAGACCATTGCAAAGATGAGGACTGGAAAGAGGTTCTTGTGAGCATTCTTGAATCCATTTCTGAGGCCCAATCGCTTTCCTGTCGTTGGATAACTATGGGAATGAAGAAAAATTCTTTCCAATCCATTCCCGTTTTGTCCCTGCATGTGCAGGGATGGCAGCCCTGAACAGGTGATGTTTGACCTAAGATCCGAAGGGCGAGCTGGGGCTACAGATATTGAGTTGAGGGTGAGGTAGGCCACCATCTGGGGCGCAGGAGACAGCTCATGCTTAGCGGAAGGAACACAATGCATTCAAGCTGCTGAAGGAGTGCCGGGGGGAGCCCAGAAACTCAGAGGAGCCTCCTGCAGGATGAGATGGGACTAGGGTGCCCAGGGTGGAGGGGTGTGGCAGGGGTAGCAAGACCTAGGGGATGAGATTATGTGCTTGGGTCCTTGGATGGGAAATGGGGAGGCAGAAGAATGAATGGTGAGATGAAGTTTTATCACCAAGGAAGAGGCTGGTATTCATGAGGTGTTTACATCAGGGATTTTTATTAAATTTAGTGAGCAGTATTGATCTGGAACTCGGTGATCTGAAGCCGAGAGAGAGAGACTTGCCCCATATCTGGGCAGTGTGCAGAGTGACCAAACAGCCACATAATCGTGACTAAAAGAGAGACATATCTCGAGGGTTTGACAAGTCTGGGGAGGCCGGGAGGGGAACCCCCAGAGAAGGAGGGGTCTTGCTTTTGAAGGGCAGGGGTGTGACGCACAGAGAATTCTCCTGTGAGTGACTTTTAGGCAGCAGGCTGTCTGCACAGTTGTGTAGTTTGCATACTTGGCAAAGGTATTTAACACAGAGGGCAGTGGGTACTTCCACCAGCCCTCTCTCAGCTCTTCAAATCTACATTATGGCAAGGGACATAGAGATGGGTTCTTTTTGACATGCTCACGGAGGCTTTAAGCCAGAGAGACCCTATTCAGGAATAACTGGGGGAGCACTTGTTGGGGGCGGGAGTGGGAAGAGGTTATGAGGTTCTTTGCCAGCTGGGAAGGGGGTCTGATCCTGAATAAATTACAGTTAATGTATTTTATTTACACCTAATGTTGGTTGGGCAGGAATTATATACTGCATATGTGTATATATCCACCCACACATGCTACGAGAGCTGTAAGTGTACATATACATACGTGCATATGTAATAGTGATGTGATGCTTCTTACATATGTTCACATTCCTTCTTTTCTCCATTTTCAGGTGCATCATTTCCCACTTACCTCCCACAGTCACTACTTCCTACATTGTCCAAAGTATTCAGCTGTTTTGGGGAGAATCATGATTATTCTACTGAGACTGCAAAAAGAGGGAAGGACGCAGCTCTTAACATCAGGTAGAAAATTTTGTTGAGTTAGTAAGTTAGCCTCTGGAAAACACTTTTCTAAATTTTTATACATTCTGGTTAACTCATTAGAAGTCAGGCCTGGAAGATGAGATCATCTAGTTCTTCAAGAGGTGGACCTCTCCTTGCTTCTGTCAAAATGGCTGAGTGAAGAGAGCATGATATCCCATGCCTGTAATCCCAGTACTTTGGGAAGCTGAGATGGGAGGATCACTTGAGTTCAGGAGTTTGAGACCAGCATAGGCAACATAGTGAGACCTTGTCTCTACCCTAAATTTAAAAAGTTATCTGGGTTTACTGGTATGTACCTGTATTCCCAGTTTCCTGGGAGGCAAGCGGGGAGGCGAGGTGGAGGATTGCCCGGGCCTGAGAAATTGAGCCATGATCACACCTCTGCACTCCAACCTGGGCAAGCATGAGATTTTGTCCTCCCTACTCCCCCGCCAAAAAAAAATAAAAGAAAAGCTGAGCCAGGAGACTTAGGGTTCCACAAGAATTGGATAGTATCTCTACAAGTCAGAAAGATAAAGCGGAAACTCCCATTTCAACTCAGGTAGAATGTGGGAGAGAGAAAGGAGATGGAGGAGATATGGCAGGAGGAGGCTTGATGCTGAGCGACAGGAAGTCTAAACAGTGGTTGAAACAGAATAGAACATGTTTCTCTCCTTTCTGGTTGCCTGGGGAGGTCAGTTCAAGGCTGGAAACGCACTCTTCTGTGTAAGAGACTCAAGCTTCACCTTTTTATTTTTTACTCTGCCGTGATCCTTATTCCAAGGTTGCCTCATAGTCCAAAATGGCTGCTGTAACTCTGTCTACCTCATCTCCATCTCACCCAGTAAAGAAAAAAAGAAGTAAAGAAGGCCATACTTCCATATTTGATTACTTTGCTTATATCCCTTAGCAGAGGTCAGTCACCTGACCACTCAGATGCAAAGGGAGGAAAACATAATTGGTATTCAGAGAAGCCATGTGGAGAGCTAAAATTCTGTGGCCCTTATAGCTAGAGGAAAAAATGAGGGAATCAGGGAGGACAAATGAGAGAACTGACACTGGGAGAAAAGAGTAGGGTGAACAGACATGGAGGTGTGTTAGAAATGAACACATATATTTAGGGGAGTGAAGGACATGGGGCCTTTCCTACTCTCATGGTATAGTCTGGGAAACCACTGTGACAGGCCCTGCTGGTACTGCAGCCACACGATGGCATCTGGGCCTGATGGATGTGCCTGAGGCTGCACTATTTCTGTGCTCAGCACAAGGTCTCAGTGGTTCCCACAGTCCTGCATGATGAGGTGTGTTGGGTTAGGGCCAGGTACCAGCAGAGGGCCAGCATGAGAGTCAAGATGCAGTGGCAGCTGGGACCTCTGAGATTAGAAGCCTGACACGTGAGCAGGTGAGACAGGACCTCCTGCCTATCTGGGTATCAGCCAGACCAGCCAACCCTCATTAGACACCAGATGTATCCAGAGTCCCCTGTGACTCTGATCCCTCCCATTCCTGCTGTTCCGAAGACACAGAGAGCTTCTTCATAGACAGCCACGGTCTTGGGGAGAGGGAGGGAGTAACTTTTTTCTCTTCCCATAAATGGGGCGCTAAATGAGAGATGGATGGTTCTTGAGAAGGTTTAGATACAGAAGCCAATTTTTAAGTTAGGCATCTGAGTATAATGTGAGTGCATTTTCTATCCCGTATATGTACATAAAATTAAACTTGCAATGCTAAATCATTTACTTTTGAGTAATAATTTACTCTTACTCTTACACTCATCAGAGTGTAAAATGAACAAAAATTAAAATTCAGATTGCAGATTTTGATTTGGGGTAGACAGGTGGCATTTTATATCAGGCTAAAGACATTACTTCAAGATATACCATTTACACAGAAGATCTCCTTAGCTAGAGATGTTTTTACAAAACTGAAACTAGTAAAGAAAAAGTTGATTTGTCAAGAGAATTGACTCCCACAAATCAGGTGTTTTCCACGTATTCAGGCATGCAACATTCACACAGATGCTCTCAGGTTCTCTTATGAAGTAATGGATTTAAAAAGTATGAGATGAGACCTCAGATATTTCAGTTACAAAACCAACCCTCTTGATCAACCAAAATATTCAGATACACTTCAGATATGATGATTTCTGAAGTGACCTGAATAACTTGTTTTCCCTTAACGCTGGGTTAAACCCAGACACAGCAACTCCAGACAGAGAGCAATTATATGGGGATATTGTATTGCTATTGCCTGCAATTTAGATAAAACAAAGGTGCACATAGGATGCACCTACACACACACACGCACACATGCACACACACTCACACACCTGCCCCCATCACATACACACTGTACAGTATTATGTTAATGCCTGCACACTCCACAAAACTAGTCCAGCAACTTGCTTATTAAGCTTTTCATTGGAACAAAGTGATGGTCTTCCCTCCTAAAATATGGTATCTAAAAAAACAAATAGTTTGTTAATTTAGCAAAAAAGTTGTGGCCAATTCTCCAGGGAATGATGAAGTTCAGGTTGTCTAATCGACATTTCTACAGTACTTTAAATATTTAAAGCAATTGCCTCTGAAATGTGGATGCCCATGTAGGGAAATGTACAAAGGAAGATAGCTTTCTCCAGTTTTGTTTGCTCCCTTTGATGTGAAAAGTTGTGAAAAAAAAAGAGTTGTGACCCTTAATTAGATAAGGATTTATCTACATTGCTTTTCTTTTTGTGTGCTCAACCCCACTAGGGCTAGGTGATCTGCCTTGCCTAGTGTTGACACAAATGGGCAGTGTAAACCTTAAACTGCTGTAAACACCTCTAAAATGTGGCCTTCCTTACATGGTCAGCGATGAGGGCTTGACGCCCGTCATCTGATAAGCTAGGGTCAGGAGTCATTCCACCGCTTTGCTTTTTCTTTGAATTTCTAAGAGCCGAAAACTTTTAATGTTTTACATGAGTAAATTACCTAAACATGTACAGTCCTTTTGCACATATTAACCCATCAGGGGCCAAAGTGAGTCCGGGAAGGCTCCCTAAACAGTCAGGGGCTGTTCACTGGGTGTGTTATGACTGCAAGACCTCGTTTTGGTGAGAATATGAGATGTAATTTGGAGAGCTTGTGTTGCATGGTAGTCACATGAGCCTTCTTAGCAAGGAGCCAGAGGGCAGGATGTTAAGCAAATGGCTGGATGTTTTTTCAAATGGTGGCAATGTCTATCTCAGAGTCAGAAACTCATCAGTAGGACTTTGATGAAGGAAGAATATTTTTCTTAAAGCAAGATACATTTTAGTGATAGAATCAGCTCTTTAGTTTATTCTCTTATGTATATATATCTACACACACATACACATACATATATAATGGCTGTTTTATAGTGTCTTGGAGATTTAGGTCATCAGGTTTCCTTCATGCCACTATTTGGAATTCAGTGAGATCAGGTGGCTAGGGAAAAGAACAATAAATTATAACAACAGCTTCCTTTATAGTCACCATGTAGAAGATGACTTATTCACTGAGTCATAAAGTCATAAACCAAAATGTCTTGGTAAAGAAAAATTTTAATTGATACTGATACATGTTTATTCTGTTCCAGGTCTACCTTATAATCACTGAGGATGGGAGAGGGCACAGTGTGTGTAACAGATATGTCAATTCTTTGGACAAGGTGCTGTGGGAACACAGAGGACTGGGGTCCCTTGGATATAGGAGGTTTCCCTGTGTTGGTCTCCTACCATCTCTCCTTGTGCTTCAGTCAGTGCATGAGAGTAGATAGGGGAAATACCAGATTCACTATACTAGGGCTTTTAAGAATATTTACAATCTTAAAATTTTACACCCAGAATAGGTCACTGAGAGCCTGTAATCCTACAAGATTTCAGAGCTGTTCATTGCACTTTCTGTAGCAACTCTTTCATCAATCTGATCATGCTCTTAATTCCAGATTTGGTGTTGTAGGTAGCCAAAATACTCGTGAGGATTCGGTTAATGCAACTCAAAAGCCAGCTTTCTCCTTTCGATCACAGATTCAAATTCTACAATTTGGAATCCATGGGCACTTCTAGATTGGGTCTTGCAGAGATTTTTTTTTTTTTTTTAACAACAGAAAGAATGAGAAGGCAAAAGAAAACATTTAGTAATAATCAACCCAAGCAAATTGAGCCTCTTTCTGCAGAAGGCAAGTAGTTCTAAATAAATAGAATATTTGGCAATTTTTTTCTGTCCACATTGTTTGACTCCATTCTGGGCCAAAATGATTTGTGACTAAACACAGGCAAAAACAAAGTTTATTTTTAACCTGTCTAGCACTGAGGGGATTGGCTCATGATCCAGAGGAGATGTGAATTCTTATCCTTTATCTAATATTTAACACTGTCTCACACTGGGGAGTGGTGATGGTTCAATTTCTAGCACTGATTTCCTATTGAGACTGTGGTTTCCTTCACTGATTATAAAATTCTCTCCCGTCTTACCCTCAACTCCAACCAACCCAGAGTTTTTCTTCAAAGCCACTCTCTACTTGACATACATATGAGCTTGACAATAAAATCCCTTGGATATATATTGTGAAAGTTGAGTGCATTTTCTATATTTTACATTATATTCTTGTTTCTGGGTCACCAAAATATAATGTGTTATAATTTAGAAATTCATTTCCACAAATAACTTAACTAACTGTAAGTCTAGACTCATGAAACTTGGGTATAGGCCAGGCAAGTAGCTTTTGCTTATAATCCCAGGACTTTGGGAGGCAGAGGCCAGCAGATTGCTTGAGCCCAGGACTTAGAGATCAGCCTTGGTAATATGGTGAAATCTCATCTCTACAAAAAATATACAATTAGCAGAGTCTGTTGGAATACGCCAGTAGTCTCAGCTACTTAGGAGGCTAAAATGGGAGGATCACTTGAACCTGGGAGGTCAAGACTGCAGTGAACCAAGATCACACCACTGTACTTCATTCTGGCCAACAAAGCGAGACCCTGCCTCAAAGGAAAAAAAAAGAAAAAGAAAAGAAAAAGAAACTTGCATATAATTGTAAGGTAGAGCAACAAACCTAGGGTTTTACCTGGAGTTCCCATACCATGTGACCTTTCAAAATTGACCTTGCACAAATCATACTGAAAAGGTATGTTTCACAACTTTTTTCCCTCGTCTCACTCATCAAATATATTTTCCTCACAGGAATATCTAGTACTATCGAAGTGGATAATTAACATTCAAGGTGCTAAGACCATGTCCACATGATGAAAAGTGTTTTGGAAAAGAATAAATGAGTGCATTACTAATGAAAGATTTTTTTTTTTCCTTTACAAAAAGTCACTGAATTATGCTATCCCGGCAGCCCACTGTCTGATGCATTGATAAATGGAGGAAAAGACAATCACATTAAGAACATGAGAACATCATTTGCAATCCTGAAAGTCAGTATTTAGAATCAACAAGCAGGGAACTTTCTCTTAAAATTAGAGATAATAACCCACCCAACTGGGCAGCAGCAATGTGCTCAATTGAAGATAGAAAAACAAGACATATTTTCCACATTACGAGCCTTTAGTCCAAGGAAGTGTTTTTCAAATGATGTTGGCTGAGACCCTGAGTAATAAATACATTTTACACTGCAACACAAATGCAAATAACTGTTGAAACATCCATACATAATTGAAACGAAAGTTTCCAAAGTAAAGTTCACTCTACTATCTGCAATATGCATGTATTTTCCATTGTATTCTATTTCACTTTAATAAATGCTAGTTGCAAACCATAAAATTGATATCCCTAATGGGGAGGAGGTTTGGTCCACAGTTTGCAAAACAGTTATTTAGCAATTATAGTCATCTACACTTTTGGAAAATGTAGCAGATGGACTAAGAAACTTCCACAAAAATATATATTCATAAGCTGAGTGAACCAAAGACCACTTTAAGGATACAGTGTGACATATGATAGGGGCTCAGTATAAATTTGAAGAAATAATTAAAAGAACATAGTAGAAAAGGCCAGGTGTGGTGTCTCATGCCTGTAATCCCAACACTTTGAGAGACCAAGGCAGGTGGATCACCTGAGACCAGGAGTTCGAGAGCAGCCTAGCCAACATGATGAAACCTGATCTCTGCTAAAAATGTGAAAATTAGCCAGGCATGGTGGCACAGTAATCTCAGCTACTCGGGAAGCTTGATCCTGGGGAGGCAGAGATTGTAGTGAGCAGAGATCGCGCCACTGCACTCCAGCCTGAATAACAGAGTGAGACTACATCTCAAATAAAATAAAATAAAATAAAATAAAAACAACATAGCAGAAAAGAAGATACTGTGGATAAGCCATAACAGCAGGTGAGCAGATAAGGCAGCTGAAATGAGCCTCAAGCAATTTAGAGGTGGCCTAGTTTCGGCAAAGATTTTAGGCTGATTATAAAGCAAAATGGCAACTGGTATGATTTTAAGTGCTAAATATTTTTGTAAAAAAGTAGTGAGCGATTGAGGAAAGTTTAAAGCCTTTTGTGACGGATGGATGTGGCTTTGAATCCTAGATTTCCCACTTGCCAGCTTTGTCAATGTGTCACATTCTCCACCACATCTTGTGTGGTCTTTGATAGTGGGGTGATGATATCCAGCTAACCAGGTTATGATAAAAATTTATAACAATGATCCATATAAAGAACATTATAGGGCCTAATATGTAGCAAACGCTAAAGAAGTAAATCAAGAAATATAATTTTTTGTGTTAGATGTTGGTTAAATTGTTGTTGTTTTTTTGTTAGTTTGTTTTACCCAACCTATGGCTTTAGCTTTCTTTTATGCTAAGTGAATCTGCCCTTCAAAATGTTTCGTCAGGCACTAACATACCTTCTCTGCCCAAATTGTTAACTAGCGGATAATCAGGATGACTCCACCTTTGTACCTGACTGAGGAAATTAGTGAACCCTGAAGAAATGAAGATTAAAGAGACAATGAAGACAGGAGACATCGGGCTGTGCTCTTCTAGATATGACAGGGAGCAAATAAGCCAACTCCAGGTCAGCATAGAATCTTAGGTGATCATTAAAATCACTTTTAAAAAATACATGTTTTGAAAGCTAAGTGTTCAGGGAAGCAGAGGAGAAAACAATTGGGACTGTATGAGGTGCCAGGTTTGAAGCTGTGTGGATGTGACTTATGCCAGGTGTTCATGAGGCCACTGGAAAATTAGAGGCAGTAAATTCCAAGCAAATGGGGCTTTTGGTGCTTGAGTAATGCTTGAGCATCAAAATCTCCAAACTGTGTGACACGCACCTGTGGTCCCAGCTACTCGGGAGGCTGAGGTGGGAGGATAGCTGGAGCCTGAGGTTGAGGCTGCAGTTAGCTGTGATGGTGCCACTGCACTCTAGCCTGGGTGACAGAGCAAGACCCTGTCTCAAGACAACAACAACAACAAAACACACGAAAAATAAAAAAAGTCTTCCAAACTGGACCTTCTCCCACTAGGGGTTTGTCTCTTTCTCCTCTCCTTCTCTTCCTTCCTAATTATCTTTTTTTCTTTATTCACAAAGTAGGAAAATATACATCCTCAACTATGAATAAGTATACTTATACTCAGCTATATCTTCTTTTTTCCATCTATATTAATGTATTTTTAGTAGAGACGGGGTTTCACCATGTTGATAGGATAGTTTCAATCTGTTGACCTCATGATCCACCCACCTTGGCCTCCCAAAGTGCTGGGATTACAGGCATGAGTCACCACACCCGGCCTGCTGTACATTTTTGATAAGCATTAAGTGTTTCTCAATTTTTGGTACACATTAAGTTTCCTCAGGGTGTTTGTTAGTAATACGGATTCTGGGAACCACCCTCAGAGAGATTCTGACCCAGAAGATTTGAGGTGGGTCCCAGGTATTATTTGCAAGCATTGCAGTTTTTGTTTGTTGGGTTTTTGAGACAGAGTTTCCCTCTGTTGCCCAGGCTGGATTGCAGTGGCCCGATCTCCACTCACCGCAACCTCCGCCTCCCTTGTTTAAGTGATTCTTCTGCCTTAGCCTCCCGAGTAGCTGAGATCGCAGGTGTGCACTACCACCCCCAGCTAATTTTTTTGTATTTTTAGTAGAGATGGAATTTCACCACATTAGCCAGGCTGGTCTGAAACTCCTCACCCCAAGTGATTCACAGGTCTCAGCTTCCCAAGGTGCTGGGATTACAAGTGTGAACTTCTAACTACACCTTGAGAAGCTGGTCTAGGATAATTCAGATGAATTTTTTTTTTTTTTGCTTCCCCACATTTTAGATGTAACCAAAGCGGTGCATATGCTATCTAAGTACAAAGAAGAACGAAGAGGTGGAAGTTTGAGGCAGCTTTCCAAACCATTTTTCTGCATTTGTTTTCCATCTTAGTTGTATGCCTTAAACAAATACACCAGCTGTCTTCATTGAGCCTTCTGGAGCATCTCCACATTCCACGAGTACCCATGAATCTGTGCCTACATACACACATCAATTGTTTGGAGTCCCATTTCTTAGAAAGATGAAGATTGACCCTGATTCTTTAAGTGCTGGGAATATTACCATAATAAATGGCATCACTACGTGATAAGAGCAAATGTGTGATTGCAGTCAACATATTTTCTACATCATTAATGAGAGACTAGCAGCTTGGATACACAGCAGTCTACAGTCAGTGACTAAGCAGGACTCTGTGAAGTGAGGAAATAGTTCTGACCAACCCCAGGGAGATGGTTATAATACGGAGTATAAGCTGCCCTGCAGTGATTTGGTATTGCACACAATTTCCATCATATACACAATTTTCAAACTCCTTTATATTCTAAAAGGCCACCTGAACATAAGTGGTCAAAAGACCTTCTTTTTTCTACCTTCATTCTTCCTCTGTTCTTTTCATTGGATCTTCGATTCTGAGAAGTCTGACCCACAGAAAGGAGGAGGCTTAACTCCAGGAATGCTCCCTATTCTCTGTCTCTTTCATCTTTCTTCTCACTCCCTCCATATGGCTTCGCAGAAGCATCAATGATGCCTTTTCTTTTCTCCTCTTCTTCAATCTATTCCACACAACCCCATGTCCTTGGATAAGCCGCCAACAAAAGTCTGAAGATGGTTTGCAATGGAAATGGATTATTGAAGACAGAGTCCTCTCATAAATTTTACATTTTATACCCCTGTGATGTTGCCGTTCTTAAAATTGATAAGAAAAACAGGAAATTTACATAATTCCTGTGAGTTTCTAGGACAAATGAGTTTATGACTATGAAGTACCTTGTAATCTAATCTATAGAACTGTAGGTAAATATAATTGGGTGTTATTAATGTTGTTGTCACCATCTTTCTTGTTTTCTGAGCAGTGATAATCCTAAGAAAATTAAAAGTAAGCTAAGTTCAAGTTGAGAGAGCAAGAGAAAGCCACATGGGTGGTTGCAGTTCACTTTATGGTGGGCCCCCAAGAAGCTGAGGCATCTGCTCACCCAGCTGCTGAGCAGCTGAGTTAGGAATCAGACTCCTAGCTTTTGTTTCAGAATCAAGACATGCCCCTGGAGACTCAGCCCTGAGAGCTATGCTTTAACCCTCAGAGCCCTGCTCTTTGCCTGGATGTTCACCTCTGAGGTCACTCTCCCATCCAGCACCTTTCTTCCCATTGTTCCTTCCCCAGCCCCTGCCCTACCCTGATTGATGAAGTTGCTGCCAGGGACCAGGATGCCACTCTCCCATAGTTTATTATGAACAAGGGGAGAAAAGTGGGAAGTAAATATGTAAGAGGGGTCTTTCATATCTAGCTGCCCGAGCCAATCCACTGAACACCCATTACATATGCTGGCTAAGCTTCCATTGGTCTTTCCCCATTAGAACAATGACAGTCTCCAAGTATATGTGGGTTATGGGTTTTGGAACATGGCGACAGTGGATAATGGTTTTTATGGGAAAATGCATTTTGGGATGGAAACCGCCAACTTAGCAACAAACGTTTAGGACTTCATGCTGTCCACAAATTGAGGACTATCTTTCACTTATGCAGCAGTTACAATTCCATAGCCAGAAATACTGACATCCCATTAAGGAAGAGCAAGAAGCAATGGGGAAAACACCCTGAAAACTACAATAATTTTTAATGCCAAGAGAGAGGAGCAGCAAACATTACAAGAACAACGTACAGCAAAATCTGCCAAATAATGGGGAGTTCCTCACACATGAAGCTCATTTCCAGAGAAACAACAGATCTGTTTAAAGATGACTCTTAAGGATATTTTATTTGACTTTGTCCAAAATTTTGGACTTTTCTGCAACCATATTCTAAGAGATGAGCTTCATTAAAAATATAAAACCAGATGGGCACATTGGCTCACAACTGTAATCCCAGCAGTTTGGGATGCTGAGGTGAGAGGATCCCATGAGCCCAGGAGTTTGAGATCAGCCTGGGCAACATATGGAAACCCTATCTCTACCAAGAAAAAAAAAATAATAAAGCTGGGCGTGTTGGTGAGTAGCAAGTGCCTATGGTTCTAGCTACTAAGGAGAAAAAAATATATATTTTTTAAACTATGAATTCAAATGATATGTATTGCTTTATTGTTGTTACATAGTGATGCACAATCAGTGAAGAAATAATTAAAACAATAAAACGATTAAAAAGAAAATATGGGCCAGGCACACTGGCTCATGTGTATAATCCAAGCACATTGGAAGACTGAGATGGGAAGATCAGTTGAATGTCAAAGTTCAAGACCAGGCTGGGCAACAAAATGAGACCCTGTCTCCAAAAAAAAAAAAAAAAAAAAAAGGAAAAATTAGCCAGTTACGGTATGGTGGCACACAGACTTACAGTTCTCCCAGCTACTGGAGAGGATGAGGTGAGAGGATGGCCTGAGCCCAGGAGTTTGAGGATGCAGTGAGCTATGATTATGCTACTGTACTCCAGCCTGAGTGCCAGAGTGAGACTTACTCTCCAAGAAAATAAATTTGAAAACACAAGAGAAGAAAAGGAAATATGACCTAAATAAATTTAGTGACCTCTACAAACCTTTTAGAGAACATGTATAAACACACCACATGTATTTTACTGAAATATTGAGTCATATTGAAATATGGTAGTACAGTCTGCTTTTTAACTTAAAGGTAGTACAGATCTCTTCACATGTCATCTATGGTATCACAAGGTGAATATGTTTAGTATTTCTTTTTTCTTTTTATTTTTTTGAGACAGAGTTTTGCTCTTGTTACCCAGGCTGGAGTGCAATGGTGCGATCTCGGCTCACCGCAACCTCCGCCTCCTGGATTCAGGCAATTCTCCTGCCTCAGCCTCCTGAGTAGCTGGGATTACAGGCACGCGCCACCATGCCCAGCTAATTTTTTTGTATATTTTTTAGTAGAGACGGGATTTCACCCTGTTGACCAGGATGGTCTCGATCTCTTGACCTCGTGATCCACCTGCCTCGGCCTCCCAAAGTGCTGGGATTACAGGCATGAGCCACCGCTCCCGGCCTCAAGATAGTCTTATATGATAAAGAAATGGTGAATGGGGATTAGGAAAGGTGAAGTGAATGAGTTATTATAATCCAAGATAGTGAATAAATGTGTATAGATGATCAGAAGGACAGTTTTACATAGACCTCATCTGATTAGATGTAAATCTATACATAGCACAGATCTGTTTATATTCACATTAAAGAAGCAAAAAAAAAAAAAAAAGCTGGCATAGCAGCAGCTGTTTAATTAGTAGCTATCATTGTTTTCACATTAGCACCTGTTGAATCAGAGACACTGACTCCTGTTGATTTTGCCTGTGCATCTATTTTGTACTGTGTTCTTCCATGTGAACACAGTAGGGTAAGAGCCATATTAATGGATAATGATACATATAGAATAATAAAACGTTGTCCCTCTAGATGGTTCTAATAAATAGAAAAGTATGAGGACCCCAGAACAACATTAGGATGAATGGTTTGAGAAGTTCTGATTCAATCAAGCAGCAGTGCCTGAGCACATTCTGACTTCTGGTCTGTACCCAGCGTGATGGCTACTGAGCAGTACTCCTGGGTGTGATTTCTTGGCCACATAGGCTATCACAAAGAGAAAGTATTTCATTTAAAAAGGTCTGTGTAGTATTTTTGTATTTAAAATGCAAAAACTTCAGATAACTTAGCTTGATTTTTGGCTTTGATAGGGGTTTGTGGGGCTGTTCATTATGGAAATTTGTACTTAGGAATTTAGGACATTCTATTTATTATGTGTTTCCACAGCGCACAAGTTTATTATTCAAGACGATTACTCACAATACTTACAAAACAATAAAAATTAGAATAGCATCAAATATAGGTTACTTTTGAATGAAGAACTTGAAAGTAATGAAATTTCTATTTAAAGAATTATTTCTCACACTTTCTGTTTCCTCATTAAAAATATTAATATGAAACCTCAGATGGAAATGCTTTGGACCATCTCTGACTTCAGGAGAGATGCAAAGAAAGAAATTTTAGTTTTCGAATAGTTACTTCTTTCCCGCCCCAGTCAGGAACTATCAAAATGTTTGGTCCCACATTAATTTTAGGAGACAGAAAATATAATGACCCTAATAAAATACTTCTGAGCTATTGTGAAAGCTTTCCTTGTTATAGGACAAGAAATGAAACCTGTTTCATCTGTATTGAGATAATCGGCTTCACGCTAAGAGGTTTTCTTTGCCTCCTCTTCCCTGTTTTCTTCTGATGCATCCCAGCAGCATCAGCAAGCTTTGCAGCCGTGGTGTAGCAGAACCCCATGGGAGCTTATGAAAACAAGGTTGCTGGGTACAGTCTCAGAATCTGAATCTGCACTTTTGGGGTGGCCTGAGAATCTGCATTTCTAGCAAGTGCTCAGGTGATACTGATGCTGTAGATCCTGGGATCACACTTTGAGAACCACTGCTGTAAAAGGTCAGTTATATATATATATATAATATGTATATATATATATATACATATTATATATATATATATATATATATATATATATATATATATATATATATATATAATGCTTTATTTCATTCAAATCCATAGGTAGTAACCTCATAGTTTGTTGTTGGTTTTTTTTTTTTTTTTTGAGACAGTCTCACTCTGTCACTAGGCGGCAGGCTGGCGTGCAGTGGCGATTTTGGCTCACTGCAACCTTTGCCTCCCAGGTTCAAGCAATTCTCCTGCCTCAGCCTCCTGTGTAGCTGGAACTACAGGCATGCACCACCATGCCCAGCTAGTTTTTTGTATTTTTTAGTAGAGATGGGGTTTCACCATGTTGGCCTGGATGGTCTTGATCTCTTGACCTCATGATCTCCCGCCCCAGCTTCCCAAAGTGCTGGGATTACAGGCATGAGCCACCGCACCCGGCTGCAACCTCATAGTTTTAAGATTAAGTTGACAGAGCAGAAAGAAGAAGAAATGATGGCTACTCACTTCAGTACCCATTTTACTAGTTACAAATTCCCAATCTATGTCACTCCCGATAAGTGATTTTATACGAATTGAGCCATTCCTTTGAGTGCCTCATTCAGGAAAATGACATGAGTGACAATAAACTTCCATAAAACATCAGGAGGAAGAGGTCCTGTTTAACAAATTACAGGACAGATACCTGTACTGAATGAATGCATAGAAGAATCAATCATATTCTTTCAAGTTTATACATACACTCACCACCACCCCTACCATTTTCAACACCAAGTTCATTTTGAGAAGAAAATGGGGAAGAAAATGATTTTATGCACATAATTGTCTCCCTTACGTATCATATTACATCTCATTTTTATCTAAGATCTCCAGGGGTCTTTTTATCCTTAAGAAGTTTTGGAGGCAAGAAAGAGCAGAAACCACTCTCCCCATTGGATAGATGAAGAAAGGAGTCTCAGAGAAGAGATTCATCGAGACCATTCATATATGAATCTCTTATATAGAGGTTGAATCTCTTATCTAAGAGGTTCTCTTAAGGCCACTAACCAATAAATGACGTGAGAGTAAATCAAAGCCTTGCAGTGCCAAGGTTGGTGTGATCCTCCCTGATGGGGGCCTTCACCCGTGAGGCCAAGAACAACAAAGGTACAGCTGTCTCCTTGCCACAGAGGTGGTCCAGTAACCAGAAGGAATCAACTGCCAGGACTACCAGAACTTCCCAAGGACCGAGCTCTCTGTTGGAGCTGCAATCAAGAAATTGAAACACCTGTGGAGCCCCACCTCACTGGAGAACCAGCATACCTGTCGACCACTGTCTTTCCACACGCAGACCCAGGCAGAAAACCAAGGAGCAGGCAGAGGCTATCCTAGGACTGTGCTGTTCCCCTGGGTACGCAGCCCCTGTTGTCTTCCTTCCTGCTTGTGTTACCACCTTCCCTGACCATGAGTTGAAGGATCTCTCTTCCCTCTCCCTCTCTGCATCTTGAAACTGAGCCCACTAATTTAAAGCCTGGATGATTTGATTTGCAGTGCAATCCTGGAGAAAGAGTCTGGCCTGCCTCATTAGAATCTACATGTTGCTTATCCTCACCCACTGGTGCTAGCCCTTGTACACAGAAGGCCATTTAATACATATTTCTAGGATGAATGAATACTGTCCAGAACACACACTAAGTCAAGTGTCGTTTAACATCTAATGTTCTAAAAATGTTTTGTGCACCCACCACTTAGTGGGTACCATCCTATGTATTGAGGATGTGCCAGTGAAGCAAACTGATTCATTCCCTGCCCTTGATATATTTTAGCAGGGAATACAGACAAGTAATTGCCATGCATGTGATGGTATGAGAACCAACAGATGAAAAGTTCTTATCACCTCCAGGCTCCGTCTTGGACAGAAGCACAGCCTGTGTTAGAGCCTTCATGTCCAGCTGACTTTGCAATCTGTACTTTTCAATGTCTAGTGTGAGCTAAGAGTTTGCTGCCTTTCCCCACTTTCTGCCCCATGTAGCCCTCTTCCTGGCCTCTTTTGGCCCTGGGCATGGAGTATTCCTACCTCTTGGCATAATTCCAGTCCTATGTATTGACACCTGCATCAGTGAGTGGCTATACAACTGTCTAGACCTGTCTAGAAATTAAAGCTATAACGCTGAACTTTGAAAGTCAGGGAAGCAGCAGCAGCCCTTCTCTTTTACGCACCTACCAGCCATCCTGCTGAAGATACCTGGATTCACATCTTCCCTGCAGTATACTGGATGGGATAGGAGCTATGACTGATCCTGAACCATCTAGGGCAGCAGTCCCCAACCTTTTTGACACCAGGGACTGGCTTCATGGAAGACAGTTTTTCCATGGGCTTGGTGTGAGGGGATGGTTTCAGGATGATTCAAGCACATTACATTTATTGTGCACTTTATTCTGTTATTATTACATTGTAATATATAATGAAATAATTATACAACTCACCATCATGTAGAATCAGTGAATCAGTGGGAGCCCTGAGCTTGTTTTCCTGCAGCCAGATGGTCCCATCTGGGGGTGACGAGAGACAGTGACAGATCATCAGGCATTAGATTGTCATGAGGGGGCGCACAACCTAGATCCCTCACATGCACTGTTCTCAGTAGAGTGTGTGCTTCTATGAGAATCTAATGCTGTTGCTGATGTGACAGGAGGTGGAACTCAGGTGACAATGTGAGCAATGGGGAGCAGCTCTAAATACAGATGAAGCTTTGCTCGCTTGCCTGCCCCTCACCTGCTGTGCAGTCGTTTGTAACAGGCCACAACCATGGACTACTGTTAACTCCAATTGTCCCTAAGTGGAGATGAGGTTTTCAAATGCCAATATAATATGTTGAGTGCAGAAGCACTGCAGGATCTGGATCCTCAAATAATTGTTCTTTTTCTCAATTTTGAAAAGAAAGTTGTCAATCTAAAAAGAGCGGCGTAGAAGAACCTGCTAATTAGATTAGCCATGCTTGGCTATAGGGGAATGTTATAGCACATTTTTCTTTTTTTCTTGAGTAAGATCACACTCTGGAAATGGCTGAGTTGCAGAAACATCTGGGGGCATTTTATGGCGTTAATAAGAAGTTTGGCCCTTAATGCAAGGTTAATT